GGGGTACTGGCTCAGGGCACCTGGCTGGCTCAGTTGGTAGAGCATGCAACTCTTGGTCTTGCAGTTTTGAGTTCGAGCCCCATGTTGGGTGTAGAGATTACTTAAAAATAAAATTTAAAAAAAAATGGGGTACTGGCTCAGCTGTTCTTACCTTTCTTTAATTGACCATGTAGTCCATCACTTCTCTCAGATTTCCACTATCTCTATTTATTTTGTGGTCTCCCTTATTCTGGATACCTCGTTGTCACCTATATAACATTTCTTAAACTTTGTTAAGTTTTGCAGTTAATCTCTTCCTCTCTATTGTACATCTTCAGTAATTCTTCACTGTTTATATCCTATTGATGGACTCCCTCTTCAGTTTTTGATGGTGCAATGGAATTATTTTTATTTTTTATTTTTAAAAAAGATTTTTTAAATTTATTTGAGACAGAGAGAGAGAGAGAACAAGTGAGGGGGAGGATCAGAGGGAGAGGAGGAAGCAAACTCCCCACCGAGCAGGGAGCCCGACACGGGGCTGGATCCCAGGACCCTGAGATCATGACCTGAGCCGAAGGCAGACGCTTAACTGACTGAGCTACCCAGGTGCCCCAGAATTATTTTTATTTTTATATTTATTCTCACTTACATGTTAGGAGGGAAGAGATAGTAACTACAGAGAATGTCAGTCATTATGAACCATCCATTACATTTCCTTTTTAATTGCTGACAGGAAAGTCATTTTCTTCTATTGATTTTATAGTCAGTCATTTTAATAACTATGACATTAGGTCTAATACTTTTTTAAGCACTTTTAATCTAAGTAGACAGCCATTTCATCGCAAATAATGGCAATTTTGTGTCTTCCACTCCAGTATTTATGTTTTTTCATGTTTATTGCCTCCAACAACAACAGTATTGAGATACAGCATCTTTGATTTTTCTGGGTTTGCCTCAAGTGTTTCACCATTGTATATGGTGTTTACTGTTGGTTTCTACCCTTTATCAGGTTAATGATATTTGTTCTTTTTCTAGATTGCTCACTTTTTAAAAATTAATAATTTATGTTAAACATATCAAACACCTTTTCCATATCTTATGATATAATTATACAGATTATCTTATTTAATCTATTATTTTAATTAATTAAATATTTTAATATACTGAATTACATTAATAGATATCCTAATGTTGAATATCCCTGTAAATTTCTTAAATGCTCCCCACTTGGTCATTATATTTTTAATATACTGTGGTTTATAATGTATAATTTGCTAATATTTTATTTAGGATCATTGCATATAAATGAATAATCAGTTTTAATTATTAACTTATAGATTTCTTTCAGAGGCCCTTCTTACCAGTTTTGGGTATCAGAGTATTGCTAATAAATTGGAGGGCTTTCCATCTTTTTCTGTGTTCTAGAAAAGTTGTAAATAACAGAAAGATGATCTTTTTCTTTTTAAGATTTTATTTATTTATTTGACAGAGAGAGAGAAAGAGAGAGAGGGAATACAAGCAGGGGGAGTGGGAGAGGGAGAAGCAGGCTTCCGGCTGAGCAGGGAGCCCGATGCGGAACTTGATCCCAGGACCCTGGGATCATGACCTGAGCTGAAGGCAGACGCTTAAGGACTGAGCCACTGAGGCACCCCAGTAATAATCTTTCTTAAAAGAGTTAGTAAAATAAAATCTTTTTAAAAAAAATAGGGGCACCAAGCTGGCTCAGTCAGTAGAGTATGTAACTCTTGATCTTGTGGTTGTAAGTTCAAGCCCCACATTTGGTGTAGAGGTTACTTAAAAATAAAATCTTAAAAAAGAGAGAGAGTTAGTAAAATTTAGTGTCTTTGGGGGGTTAAAATCTTTAACTTTTCTATTGCTCCTTAGCTATTAATTTATTTGAATTTTCTACCTCCTCCTGAGTAAATTCTGATCATTTTATGTTCCTTGAAATTTTCCTCTAGATATTCAGATCATTTGGTAAGTTGCACATGCTTTTATCACTTAAGGTTCTAAGTGACAAGCCACCAAACCAACTCTGGCTAACTTTAGTAAAAGAAAATTCATTTGGAAGATAATAGGATATTCACACTCTTGACAGAAGGCTAAGCAACTAGGCTTAAGAACTGAGGATAGTCACTCAGGAAGGCGAAAAGGAATGACAGGAAACTTGTGTTACAACTAACAGCTAAACCATCTGACCCGCACACAGCTGCTGCTGCTGCTTCAGTAAATTATTCCCTATTGGTACTTCTGTTCTATGCTTAACTCAGGATTCAAACACCAGGGAGAGACTCTTTGATCAGTCCCTGGTCTAGAAGAGGGAATGGAAAGAGGCTGGGATTGGATTTCTTAACTTCTGTTTTGGAAAGCAGGTGCCGGGAATTATTCTCGCACCAAAACAACCCATAATAGAAGAAAGATAATTCCACAAAGAAAATTGGGAACCTGTTATGAAGGAAAATGGGTGTTGGCAGCCCCCCAAAAATTCCCACTTCAATATTTTAACTCTAAAATTGTTTTACTCTCGCTCCTTTTTTTTTTTTTAAATTTCTCAAAATGATTCATTGGTTTACATATCAAATCTGCTACTTTTTTACTTCCTGGTTTCTTTACTATTGCTTATGTCTTTATTATTTCCTTTCTATCACTTTTGATTCATTTTATTTTTTTAATGCTATCCTGAGCTGTATGCTTAGTTCACTTTTTTTCAGTGATTTTGTTGTTGTAAAAGATTTAAATGTAATTTGGATATTTGTCTTTTTTGTTGTTTTTTCTTTAATTTAATTTTTTGTCTTTTAAAGATTTTATTTATCTGTCAGAGAGAGAGAGAGCAAAAGCAGGGGGAGCTGCAGGCAGAAGGAGTGGTAGGCAGAGGGAGAAACAGGCAGAAGGAGAAGCAGGCTCCCTGCTGAGCAAGGAGCCCAGGGCCTGGCTCAATGCAGGGCTCTATCCCAGGACCCTGGGATGACTTGAGCCAAAGGCAGACGCTTAACCAATTGAGCCACCCAGGCGTCCCATGTTGTTGTTTTCTTCTATTCTTTCTAAGCTTAGAAATCACCCCTTACCTAAGGTTTAATACTTGTTTCAGTTGAATTTCTTTTAGAGATAAGAACCTTGATTCTAGTTTTAGCAGTATTATAAAGTGTATCAATAAGAATTTGGTCAGGAAAACTTGAACCACTGTAAGTATTTTAAACCGAAAAGAAGATCAGAAACAGTTCTCATTCACATGGGATGAGCAACAATATACATCACAGTTTTTCCATAGATCTTATCTCCCACCTTCCGTCGTAATAAAGTCTGAGGAAATCTGGATCATCTGGACTTCCTATAAAACACCACATTCTTCCATTACATTGATGGCAATACCTTGATCAGAGCAGGTAAGCAAGAGGTGGCTAGCATGCTGAATGCCTTGATAAGACACATATACTCCAGAGGGCAGGAGACAAGGCCAGGATATCTTGTCTAAATTAAAAAACAAATTATTTCATCTTGAACTGCCTTGCACAAGGAAGAAAGCACAAAACACTGAGGAATACTGCTCAGGCTGCCAGGGCAGGAAAGTGTTCTGCAGTGGTTTGACAGAGGCTATGATGTTAGAATTGCCAGTGGTGGAAAAAAATATTGTATCATGTTTGAGAAAGAACCATTGAGAGAAATACAGTAGAGAACCCTAGGGTTCTGGAGCAAAGCCATGAATTATCTGCAGCAAAATTGTATTCTTTTTGAAAACAACTGTGTACTACTGGACCCTGGTAAATCTGGAACTACTGAACATTGGACACTATATCACCATGTGACCAGAAATGCCCATTGTGAGCCAGGTCCTAACAGACCCACAAAACATAAGGTTGAGCAGGCCTAGCAAAAATGTATTATAAAATGGAAGTGTTGCATCCAGAAACAAATACAAACCGGACCAAGGGCACTAGCAAACTGCATCAGCTGGTAGCTCGGATATCCCCCTCCCCACCTAATCCAAACTGTTGCACCCAAGTCCTTCCCTCAGCTCATACCTATGGCTCTATAAGGAATATGGTATGACCAGGAGGAGGGAAAAACGTGTTTGGTTTACAGATGGGTTGGCTCAGTATGTAGGTACAAGCTGAAAATAGACAGCAGCCGCAATACAGCCAAACTTAGGAGTGGTTTTAAAAGACACTGGTAAGGGAAAGTCTTCACTATGGGCTAGAGCTTCAGATAATACACCTGGTCACCCACTTTGTGTGGAAATATCAGTGACCCAAGACTAGACTGTATATGGAATCCCAGGCAATAGTGATTGCCTGATGATCTTTTTCTTAGAATAAAAAGTATTCAAGGATTAAGAACAAGAAGATCTGGAGTAGAAACGTGTGGACGCACATATAGGAGTTGGAATGAAGTATAGAAATATTTGTATCATGTGTTAATACCCACTAGCAAAAGATACGAAATAACCACAAACTGACTCAGCCAATTGGTATCAGCCAGTGCCAGTCAGCAGCCACCCCAGTGCTAGCACAGTGGGCACGGGAATAAAGCGGCCATAGTGGCAGAAATGGAGGCTAGCCATGAGGCCAATATAATGGGCCCCTTAAGATTTAGTTAGCTCGGGCGCCTGGGTGGCTCAGTTGGTTGGGCGACTGCCTTCGGCTCAGGTCATGATCCCGGAGTCCTGGGATCGAGTCCCGCATCGGGCTCCCGGCTCAGCGGGGAGCCTGCTTCTCCCTCTCATGACCCCATCCCCTCTCATGCTGTATCTCTCTCTCTCTCTCTCTCTCTCAAATAAATAAATAAATAAATAAAATCTTTAAAAAAAAAAAAGGTTTAGTTAGCTGATGCCATCAACAAATGTCCATCCTGAAAGCAACAGAGACTAATGCTGAGTCACCAAGATGGCACAATTCATCAAGGGTACCAACTAGCCACGTGGTAAATTGACACAGTTGGTCCTTTCCATCTTAAAAGGGCCAGTAGTACATTCTCACAGAAATAGACATATATTCCAGGTTAAGGTGTTCCTTTCTTGCCTGCAGGGCCTTAGCTGGGATCATAATCCAAAGGATTTCAGCATATTTAATCTTCCAACATCCTGTCAGACAAGGGGACCCACCTGACAGCAAAGGAAATGTGAGAGTGACCATGCAGTTCACTGGGCATATCACATACTGCACCACTGGAAACCTGGCAGCCGTATGGAGCATTGGAACAGCCTGCTGAATGCAGAATTGAAGGGCTATTTAAAGGCAATACTCTGAGGACTGGGTGCTGTCCTTCAGCAAGCAGCATAGGCCTTGAATCAAAGACCTTCATTTAGCATTGTATCCCCAACAGAGAGAAGATGGAGGTCTGGGAGCCAAGGAATAGGAGCAGAAATGACCACACATACTGTCACTCACAGTGACTAACTGGGAGCTTTGTGCTTCCTGTCTCCACAACTGGAGACTTTGCAGAGTTAGGGATCTTGTTCCCCAAAAGAAGCATACTTTTACCAGGAGGCACAGCAAGAATTCCAATGAATTATAAGCTAAGCCTTCTGCCTCATGCACATGGATTGGGCTTCTTGTGTCTAGGGACCAGCAAGAAAGAAGAGGAGTCACCATGTTGATAAGGATAACTGACCCTGTTCATGTAGAGGAAGTAGGGTTGCTGTTATATAATGAGGGAAAGGAGGAGTATGTATGGAACCATATGAGCTCCTTGGGTGCCTCTTGTGAGAGTAAAAGGATAAAAACAGCAACTATGGTCTGAGAAGGAAATGTAACCAGGGGCTCCAGGAAGTTTGTGAGTCATGACATTAGGTGAACACCTGAGGCTGTCAGAGGTGGAAGCTGAGGTGAAAGGAATCTATAATAGATAGGAAAGAGGCAGAGGATGAGTATCACCTGCAGCCTCGAGATCCACTACAAGGGCCAGGGCTCTAGTTTTTCTTACCACTTCCCTCTTCTAAATTTTCCCCCAGGAAGAAAGGCCTCCTACAATTTGGAAGGAGCCACTCCCGGAGCATATACAAAAAGTAGGTCTAAGACAGCAAATGGTGGACTCTGAAAGACAGGGAGATGAGTTTCCCAGATCCCACTTCATGGAAGGTTTTGCTGCCCTAGCTGTGAAAAGTGTGATCAGCAGACACTTCTGATGGCAACTAAATGTCGGATCCTTCAGGGTCTGCCTCAGCTGCAGAGAAGGGCCTCACCTAAGGGGATGCCTTTCCCGGGCAACCCACACCAGGTGACTGGGCAAGGCAGGGTTTCATGGTCTAGCCATTTCTGTCTGACCCAGCGACACTTGATAGGCCACACTCACTCCAGAGCTCCCCATGAGTTGACCAGGGCTTTGTTAAACGTGCATTGCAGTCTCACTTTTCTCTCTGCTCACTCCTGCTTCTCCTCCCTTCTTTTCACAGGAGTTAATTTCTAGTAAGTTATCTTGTACCCCCAACTCTGTCTCATGTCTGCTTTGGGAGAACCCTCACAAAGTTTTCTATGCTCAGAGGATATAATTTGATCACAGCATAACTGATGCATGGTAAAGGCACTGTTTTGTTGAGGATTTTTAATGTCTTCATCACAGCTTTCAATATGATATACTTTTACTTCTTATCTCCTTGTCTTCAACCTTAAGGAAAAACCATAATTTTGTTTTACCAAAAACATAAGAAATTTTCTTCCAGTGTAGTTTCTGTCTTCCCTAGAAAACAGAATTGAGGCATTGTCTAGTAACAAAGTGGGGAAATCAGTTTCCTCTGGAGGAAACATACTCCCTATTGGTCACCTCCCTCAGCTATTTACTGGGAAAATCTTTTTTGGTTTCAGTTACGGTAAAACTCTGGATTTTAGCCAGATTCTCTGAGTTCAAAAGTACAAAGCTCTGTAGGACACTTGCTCTTTCTAAATGTTTTTTCAAAGGTTAAAAATTAAGTTTCAAAGAATACCCAGGGTGCAGAAGAGAGACAGACACTGAGACTCTCCAACATGAAGCTTGCTCATGTTATTTTGTTACATTTGTGCTTCTGCATAAGTTTTTGCAAGGTAAGTAACTCAATATTTATGTAGACTATTTTAATTAGATTTTTAAATATTATAAAAATGTAAGCAAAATCTTAAAGACATGGGGGAAGGGAGGAAAAAATATAATAAGATGAAATCAAAAGGCGAGACAAACCATAAGAGACTCTTAACTATAGGAAACAAACTGAGGGTTGATGGAGGGTAGGTGGGTGGGGGGATGGGGTAACTGGGTGATGGGCATTAAGGAGGGCACATGATGTAATGAGCACTGGGTGTTGTATGTAACTGATGAATCACTGAACTCTACCTCTGAAACAATACATTATATGTTAATTGAATTTAAATAAAATAAAATTTAAAATAAATAATTAAAAAGTAAAAAAAAAAGAAATCTTAAAGATATTATTTTGTCCTAGAGATTACATAGTTCAGATACCAACAGTGGCAGTATATAGTTAGTAATAAAAATTTTATGTTAATATCTTGATGAAAGAGCTTTAAGAAATTGCTTTTTTCGTGTGCCCATATCTGTGCATAGAGATTGAACTGAATGAGATTTTTACTAATATAGATCTGTAATTTATAGTAATCCTATTAAATCAAAAAATATTTACCAAACTCCTTCTACATGCAAGGTATAGTGCTGGGCAAAGAGCATGTCTGATTTCCAATAGCCCTTCGGTACAACTGTAGGAAGATGACATAAACATGACAATGAGGAAATAATAAGCAAGATTTAAATAACTTTTGAGAAGGAACTGTTTTAATTGCCAAAATGTTACATTTAATTGCCAAAAATGTTACAAATATCATGTGCCGAGGGACTTTAATGAGAGCGAAAATCCCTTCCTGCTAAGAGGTCAAGAAGAGTTTATGGACCAGTGGGATTTGAGCTGGATTCGTAATTCTGGATTAGTGTAGAGAAACAGAGTGATTTCCACCCTTTTCAGCCTGGAAAAGCAGCAAGTGCTATGGTAGAAAAATAGTAAAGCCCTAGTCTCCTCCAGGTGAATAAATCCATTTGATTAGAATGGAAACCTTGTGGGGAACTTGGGCAATCAAAACTGGTATGACAGATTATAGCCAGGTTGGAAGATCATCTATTAAGGTTAGATAGGCTCTAGATATTTTAGACAATTATTGATGATCACTTTTGTGATCAAAGCATTTTGAAACAGGATTACAAAAACTGTTTTGTCTTAATGCCAGCTTAGAGAAGCAAGTATTTAAAGAAAACTACCTAAGAAATGAGAATTGCTTAATTTAAGTTTCCTGTAACTTCTAAGATGTATATGCAATGCTTGTAACAGAGAACAAATAGAAATAAAGTAAGTGCTCATTGATAAGAAATTGATTAAATTATTGTACATCTATAAATGAACTATCATGTAGCTATGAAAATGATGCATTTTATATTTATTGGGAAAAAAGTCCTTACTAAAATCTTATTTTTGTTAAAGAAGAAAATATACACACGTTCATGTATCTGTGTATATGTGTACATACACACACACACATATACACAGATATAGCTGCTCATCTAAACAGCAATTTCAAAGTTCCTGGAGGGTATATATCAAATAGATACCAATTGGTATCTCAGGTAATGAGATTACTGGTGATTTTTATTTTTTGTTTTATACATTTATGAATTTTCAGAATTCAGAAATTCTGTTTTATTCATTATTCATTTTTTAAAATACCAAATAAATGTGTGTTACTTAGAATAAGGAAAAATTTGTTTTTGAGGAAAAGATATTTCAGCCACATTTTTGGTTCCCGTAACAAAAACAATAAAAAACAAAACAAAATAGTACTTTTCACTTACAGAAAGGGAAAGAGCCTCTTTTACTGAATAATCATTCAATAATAAAGTTGTCTTCTTTCCTTTAAAAAACAGCATTTTATAGGGATTGTCATATTTGTGAAAATTTCAGAACTTCTTAAAATATTAATTTATAAAAGAAAATGGAATGCTGAGAGATAACCATTTTTAAATGGAAGTTGCCATAGAGACAACATAAATGTGTTCAAAGAAGTTTTAAAATGTGTCTACATTTTCTAAATGAAATAAAATACATACATCTGGGAGAAATTTTTGTTATTTTTAAAGCTAGGACCAGATTTCCCTCTAAGGAATAAAAAGTCCCATGCCTTTTTTATATCAAAACATTTTGATGGACTTATTTGAAGGTGGATTATGTCAATGGCAGGAGTGAACTGGCAGCAGGATGGACTTTGGTTGTTCTGAAAGGGGAAATGAGAATTCTAGTTTTACTGCCCAGACAAACAGATAAGGGGACTCAGGTTTCTCTGGGAGATAAAACCAGGACATAGAGGGATTGGCTGCTGTATTAATAACAAAGGATATTAAAGAATAGGGAAGCCAAATGTTTCATTCAATATGGTTATTTACTACTGTGGGAGTATTGTGCTGTAACATAAACCCTGACCAAAACCTTAAATTTTTATTTACCCTAAAAGTTTATTACAAACCTAAGTTTATATTGGTAATATTTTGGAAAGAAAGAATGAGAGTGATGTTCAGCAGAGTGATGAGCTAATGGAAAGACAATATGCACAGGAAGCAACATGCAATGCAGAGAGTGAGGTCAGCAAAAATGGCAGAGTAGGCAAATCCAAACAGTTGTCTTTCCACACACACATGCACACACACACACAAATCATGCAGACTGTCAGAACCAACTTTGTCAGAACTCCAGTTATTAATCAAAGGCCTACAGCCTCCAAATGAATACTGGATGAAGGAAAAGGCAACTTAAGATGTTAGGAAAGTTTGTGACATTTCTACTTGCCCTTGCCCTACCCTGTCCCCACTTCAGTGCAGTCTTGAAGATGACAGTCCACATGAGGAACTCTTGTTCCTAGCTCCAGAAGGAGCAGAGCAGACTTTATTTAAAAAGAATGGTGTTTGTCTGTTCTAACCTGCCTGGGACATACTGGAAAGACTGATCAAACATATTTGCCTTTGTTTTGCCTAACTCAGAACTCACTCAGAGTGGAAAGACAGTGGGAATTCCTCAAAAACACTGTGACATAGGGACACCTGGGTGGCTCAGTCAGTTAAGTGTCTGCCTTTGGCTTGGGTCATGATCCCAGGGTCCCGGCATCAAGTACCCCATCAGGTTCCTTGCTCAGCGGGTAGCCTGCTTCTCCCTCTGCCTGCTGTTTCCCCTGCTTGTGCTCTCTCTCTCTCTCTCTGACAAATAAATAAAATCTTAAACAAACAAAAACAAAAACATTGTGAGGCACCAAACAACCTGCAGCTACCTGGGACAAGATTACAGTTGGGAAAAATGGTAGAGTGTCAAAGCTTGGGAGGAAAATTTAGGGAAAGAGTTTCTGTGGGAAATTAGACCATTCAAAAGTCCCTGTGAATACTTGGGAATTTAAAAAGCAACACACATGCCCAGGGCAGGATGCATGCTCAGGAAAGATCTAAGAAGACTCTAAGCCTACACCTCTAGATGATCTCTAGGCTGAGTGCAAGCAGGAAGTGAAGGCTAAGAGAGAATTGAAAATGGCCTGACTAAGCGTTGAAGGGGTACTCAAGCACAGAGCCAATTTGCAAAGTCTAGAAGAGGTTTTTGGTTGTTGAATAGAGGAGTTTCTTATTCTTTTTATTTTATTTCTATGAAAAACTCACTAGAGTTTTAATAACAGATTTGAGCAGGCAGAAGAGTAAGTGAACTTGAAGATCAGTCAATTAAATTATCCAGTTTGAAGAGCAGAAAGAAAAAAATAATGAGAAACTAACAGAGATTAAGACCTATGGGACACCATTAAGAACACCAAAATATACATAACAGGAACCTCAGAAGAGGAGAGAACAGGTTAGAGAGAATATTTGAAGAAATAATAGCCAAAAGCTTCCCAAATTTGAAAAAATATATGAATCTACAGATTTAGGAAGCTTAGCAGCCCCCAAAAGGATAATGCAAAGAAATCCACACTAAGACACATTATAATGAAATTGTTAAAAGCCAAGGAACAAAACAGAATGTCTTGAAAGCAGCAAGAGAAAAGCAACTCATCATGGACAAGGGATTTTCTTTTTTTAGAGTTTATGTATTTACTTGACACAGAGAGAGAGACAGCTAGAGAGGGAACACAAGCAGGGGGAGTGGGAGAGGGAGAAGTAGGCTCTTGGCTGAGCAGGGAGCCCGATGCGGGGCTCAATCCCAGGACTCTGGGATCATGACCTGAGCTGAAGGCAGACGCTTAACGACTGAGCCACCCAGGAACCCGAGAAGTGATTTTCAATAAGATTAGAAGTACATTTCTCATTAGAAACCATGGAGGTACGGAGAAGAGAGTGGGATGACATTTTTAAAGTGCTGAAAGAAAAGACTGTCAATCAGGAATCCTATATCGAACAAAACTATCCTTTAAAAATGAAAAAGAAATTAAGACATTTTCAGATCAACAAAAGCTGACAGTTACTAGTAGACAGGAAATTCACTCTAAGAAAGATAGTCCTGCAGGCTAGCTAAAATATGCTAGACAGTAACTAGAAGCCATAAGAAGAAATAAAGGACTTCAATAATGATAACTATGTAGGTAAATAGAAAAGTCAGTGTAATTTTATTTTTGGTTTGTGGCTCTTTTTATTTCACATTATTTAAAAGAATGTATAAAAAATAATTATAAATCTATGTTAACATGCGTACAATGCCTAAAGATGTAATGTGTGACCATAACATAAAAGAGGGGATGGACCTATATAAGAGCAGGGTTTTTGATATGCTCATGAAGTTAGGTTGGTATCAATTCAAACTAGATTGCTATACATTTAAGTTGTTAAGTATAATCTCCATGTCAACCACACACACACACACACACAAAATCTTAAAAATATACAGAAAAGACATGAGAAGAAAAGCAAAACAGTTCACTACAAACAAATCAACTAAACACAAAAGAAGTCAGTAATAGAAGACATAAAGAACAACAATATTATAATACATACAGAGAACAAATTGCAAAATGGCAAAAGTAAGGCCTTCCTTAAAAACAACTTAAATGTAAGTGGGTTAAATTCTCCAGTGAAAGGCAAAGATTGGCAGAATTTATTTTTTAAAAAACTAACCATGGTCCAACTATATGCTGTCTACAAGAGACTCACATTAGATCCAAAGACAAATAGATTGAAAGTGAAAGGATGGAAAACAATATTCCATGAAATAGTAACCAAAAGGGAACTGGAAGGGGCAGCATTAATATCAAACAAGATTAAACTTAATTTTGTCTTGTTATGAGAGACAAAGAACATTAGATATTGACAAAAGAGTTCATTTAAAATATATAATTTTAGGGGCGCCTGGGTGGCTCAGATGGTTAAGCAGCTGCCTTCGGCTCAGGTCATGATCCCAGGGTCCTGGGATCGAGCCCCACATCAGGCTCCTGGCGCAGCGTGGAGCCCGCTTCTCCCTCTCCCTCTGCCTCTCCCCCTGCTCATGCTCTCTCTCTCTCTCTCTCTCTGTATCTCTGTGTCTGAAATGAATGAATAAAAATCTTTAAAAAAATAAAATAAAATATATAATTTTAAACATATACACACCAAACAGTAGAGCTCAAAATACACGAGACAATGACATAATTGAAGGGAAGAATAGAATTCTATGATAATCATTGGAGACTTCTATATCCCACTTTCCGTAGTGGATAGAAAATCTAGACAGAAGATTAATAAGAAAATAGAGGATTTTAATAGCACTATAAATCAACCAGACCTAACAACAAGACATATAGAGCACTACACCTAACAGAAGTAGTAAACACATTTTTTTCAAGTGCCCATAGAGCATTCTCCAGCATAGGCCACATGTAAGGCCACAGAACATGTCTCAAAAAATTTTTAAATATTGAAGTCATAAGAAATAGTTCCTCTAAAGATAATGGAATAAAGCTAGAAATCAGTAACAGAAGGAAAACTGGAAAATTCACAAATATGTGGAAATTAAACAATATACTCTTAAATAACCATGGTCAAAGAAATCACAGAATAAATTAGAAAATACTTAGAAATGAATGAAAGCAAAAATACAACATACCAAAACATATGAGATGTGGCAAAAGCACTTCTCACAGAGACATTTATAGCAGTAGATGCCTACATTAAAAAAAGAACAAAGATCCTTAATAAGAAACCTAACCTTAATTAAACCTTACAAGAACCAGAAAAAGAAGAGCAAGCTAAATGAAATCTAGGAAATAATAAAGATTAGAATGGGGAGTTTTTATCATGAACAGATACTGAATTTTGTCAAATGCTTTGTATTTCTATGGTGTTGGTAATTATTTCTGTTTCGTTTCTGATTTTATTTATTTGAGTCCTCCATTTTTCTTGATGAGTCTGGCGAAAGGTTTATCAATTTTGTTTATCTTTTCAAAGAACCAACTGTTGGTTTTATTGAACTTTTCTATCTTTTAGTCTCTAGTTCATTTATTTCTGCTCTGATCTTTATTATTTCCTTCCTTCCACCAACTTTGGGCTTTGTTTGTTCTTTTTCTAGTTCCTTTAGGTGTAAGATCAGATTGTTTGAGATTTTTCTTGTTTCTTGAGGTAGATCCAATTGTTATACATTTCCTTCTTAGAACTGCTTTTGCTATATCCCAAAGATTTTGGACCATTATGTCTTCATTTTCATTTGTCTCCATGTACTTTTTTATTTCCCCTTTGATTTCTTCACTGATCCATTGGTTGTTTAGCAGCATGTTCTTTAGCCTCCAAAAAAAAGAAGAGGAAGATGGTGAAGAAAAAGAAGGAGAAAAAAAGAATGTAGATGGGAAAAAATAAATAGTAGGAAAATAGAATCAATTAAACTAAAAGTTGGTTCTTCGAAAAGATCAACTAAATTAACAAATCTTAGCTAGACTGTTAAAAAAAAGATGCAGGGCACCTGGGTGGCTCAGTTGGTTAAGCGACTGCCTTCGGCTCAGGTCATGATCCTGGAGTCCCGGGATCGAGTCCCGCATTGGGCTCCTTGCTCAGCGAGGAGTCTGCTTCTCCCTCTGACCCTCCCCACCTCATGCTTTCTCTCTCTCTCAAATAAATAAATAAAATCTTTTAAAAAAATAAAATAAAATAAAAAATAAATAAATAAATTCACCTGGAAAGACTAACTCTCTTCCACTGTGGTTCTCCAAGAGTACTGTGTTGTATTTGTACCACTGCTATATCAATTACCACAATCTGCCTTGTTCCCCAGCTATTATGTTTCTATCTTTTTTTAAAAAAATATTTTATTTATTTATTTTTGACAGAGAGAGAGAGATAGCAAGAGAAGGAACACAAGCAAGGGGAGTGGGAGAGGGAGAAGCAGGCTTCCCGCTGAGCAGGGAGCCCGATGCGGGGCTCAATCCCAGGACCCTGGGATCATGACCTGAGCCAAAGGCAGACACTTAACGACTGAGCCACCCAGGTGCCCCTTATGTTTCTGTCTTATTGCCTAGATATCAAGCCCTTGGAAGACAGAGCCCATGTACGTTCATCTTAGAGAAACTTTATACACAGCAGGAGTTTAATAAATGGTTTTGCATTTATTAATAAAATTAACCAATTTCATTCATCAATTCATTCCACAAGACTATATTTAGCACCATTTTTTTTACTTCTTAATATGATTTATGAGATTCATTGATTTCTTCCAAGGCAGAATTTTATGTTGGCTTTAGGATAATAATAGCTCCCATTGATTTCATGCCTAGTACCTGTCAACCATTATATGTTTATAATTTCTAATCCTTGCAATAGCCCTGCAAAATAGAAGATATTAGCCCCATTTTCCAGATGAGGAAACACACAATTCTTGAGGGTAGGTAACTTACCCTCAAGTAAGGGTAAGTACCCAAGCTAGGACTAGAAGTCAGGTTTGTGATTCCGTAAGCCACTACACCACATCATCTCATCTGTACTGTGGGGTAGGTGAGTCTGTTTTGTTCCTTTCCTTCACTTAATCAACTCCAAAAAGAAGATTTTAGTTTGTTAGTGTTTATTTTGTGTTTTACAGCTCTCTTCAATATTAAACACACCTCAAAAGGATCTGGTAGACAAAAAGTGCTTAACTGAAAAATACACACATCTCTCCTGCAAGAAAGTCTTCTGCCAACCATGGCAGAAATGCATCGACAGGACCTGTATTTGTAAACTCCCTTATCAGTGCCCAAAGAATAGTACCCCAGTGTGTTCAACTAACGGGAAAACCTACCCAACTTACTGTCACCAAAAGAGTTATGAATGTCTTCATCCAGGAGCAAAATTTTTAAATAACGGAGCATGCACAGCTGAAGGTAGGAAAAGCCTAGTTGAATCTATGATGTAAGAAGGAAATTGTTTACCATACTTTCTATTAGAAAATAATTTTGCTATGAAATGTTATGATGACAGTTCAAAATTCCCCTCTAGACCCTGACTTGTAATTGTGGTGCTAACTAAAGAAATTAGTCAGCCTTTGAGACCACAGCACAAGGCCCTGAGGCCAGTCCTTCCCCTTAGTGCCTGTGCCATTCTCTGCTGCTCAGGCCTTCAAAATTATCCCACCCTCACTTCTCCCTGCCCAGCAGAACTATTCCCAGAGCCATTGAGTTGGTTCAGAACCCAATGAACAAGTCTTTACGTGAGATGGATACTGATGCACCTCTGGACCTCCATCTCCAGTAATTTCTTCCAGCATCCATCCCACCAGCCCCTACCCCTAGAGAGCCCCAACCCCATTGGCCCTGATCTAAGGGGAGCTCGGGCCACTGCTGACCTAGGACATGCTCTAACCTAGCAAACTTGGCACATCAGACGAAAGAGCTTGTCTACACTCCATCCAGGTTCCTAATTCAGTGAGGAGGCTGGGATGCTGATAGGTGGATTTGTGGAGTAGTTAAGGTTAGGGATTTCACTGTCAGATTTAGTGGCAAGCCCCTCCACCCCACCTCGGTTATTGACAAGCTATGTGACCCTCAGACCCCATTTTCCACATCGGTAAAATGTGAGTAACACTAGTTCCTAACTCACAAGACCCTCATAAAAATTAAATAAAATGATGTATGTAAAGGTCTTCACACAGTGTTTGGCACACAAAAAGAGCTCATGAAATTTTAGCTATGATAGCAAACCTCAGGCTTATCTTCTGATATCAATTATCACAGGCATTTCATGAACTGATAAAAAATACTCAAAACATTCCCTTTTTTAAAGATTTATTTATTTACTTGAGAGAGAGAGCATGCAGTGGGGAGGGATAGAGGGAGAGGGAGAGAAAGTCAAGCAGAGTCTACGCTTAGTGAGGAGCCTGACCTGGGACTTGATTTCACAACCCTGAGATCAGGACCTGAGCTGAAACCGAGAGTCAGGCGCTCAACCGACTGCCACCCAGACACTCAAAACTTTATTTTTAAAGGTACCATGACATATCCTGGCACACAGTAGCCTAGATATCTGTGTGATGCTGAGTGAAGATCTTGAAGCACTGTGGAACAGGAAGAAGAGAGCTCTCTACTGCCTGTGGGAAAGAAGGGAAGCAATAATGGAGATTTTGTCAGCAGCAGACTTTTGTTTTCTTGAGGCATTAAATGCCTTAAGTGTATGAGAATACATAAAACTTTTTTACATCCTAATTATTTGGCTTACTCTGAAGAGCACAGACTTGGAAGTGAGATCAATATGGTAGCTTCCAATTCTTGGCTTCCCCACTGGAGCGAGCAACTTAACCTCAGGTGTAAAAGTGGAGGATAAATATCAGTGTAGTCTTCACAGCATTGCCTTATGAAATAATTGCTTACTATTATTTATGAAAGCCTTCATGGTGTTCAATGTTAATTTGAAATTATCTCTTTTGTTATTTTAAAGGCTTTTCATCAAGAGGAGAAACAGTGAATGCCTAAATATTGCTCATTCTTTTGTTTTTTTTTAAATTTTAGGACAATTTAGTGTTTCCATAAAGTATGGAAATATCACTTCAGAAGGAATTGTTGAAGTAAAACTTGTAGACCAAGATAAGACAATGTTCATATGTAAAAAACCCTGGAGCATGACAGAGGCTAATGTGGCCTGTTTTGACCTTGGATTTCAACAGTGAGTGTTTGTGTCAGTGGATTTTTCCAGGATTGGTTTTATTGTTCCAACTATTTGTTTGTTTCTTTTTTTTTTAATTTTTTTTTTTAAGATTTTATTTATTTATTTATTTGAGAGAGAGAGAATGAGAGAGAGAGAGCACATGAGAGGGGGGAGGGTCAGAGGGAGAAGCAGGCTCCTTGCTGAGCAGGGAGCCTGATGCGGGACTCGATCCAGAGACTCCAGGATCATGACCTGAGCCGAAGGCAGTCGCTTAACCAACTGAGCCACCCAGGCGCCCCTATTTGTTTGTTTCTTTTTTCTAAGATAAGGTATCTTTTTTTTTTTAAGATTTTATTTATTTATTTGACAGAGAGAGAGAGTGCACAAACAAGGGGAATGAGAGAGGGAGAAGCAGACTCCCCGCTGAGCAGGGAGCCCAATGCAGGGCTCCATCCCAGGACCCTGGGGTCATGACCTGAGCCGAAGGCAGATGCTTAACCGACTGAGCCACCCAGGCACCCCAACTATTTGCTTTTTCATTACCCAGTCTTTCTCTGCCGTAATTTCCTCATATTTAACTTGCCTCATAGCACTGTTAATGAGGATTCATGTTTCACCAGCCCTTAGAACACCACTGAGCACAGAGCATCTGTAAGTTTGTTTAAGTATCTGGATATGAATCCTTTGCAATTCCAGAGAGTTGTAAATATGTTCATTACTATCTATCTCTGCTTGTCTATAATTATGTCCACTTTTTCATACCTAATATTGTTTATCTATGCCTTCTCTCTTTTTTCTTGATCAACCTTGAAGAGATCTATTTGATTGTGTTTTTGATTTTTATATTTTATAGGCAAACTTCAACTTCATTAAGTTTTGTTGTTCCCTTTGGCTCTCTCTCTTCTTTTCTTTATTGTATTTTTCCTAATTCCTTGAGTTAAATGCTTACTTAACTCATTGATTTACAACTTTTCTTATTTCCTAATGTAAGCATTTAAGGTACAAATTTCCCTCTAAATAATGCTTCATCTGCATGCCATAAGTCTCTGGCATAAAAGTGGTGTTTTATTTATTGTTCAATTTGAAATACTTTTTGATTTTCAGTATAATTTCCTTTTTTGATTTAGAAGTTTCTTTTTTACTTTCCTAATGAATATATATTTTCTTTCAGTTAACTTTTTGTTATAGATTTCTTACTTAATTGTACTGGGGTAAGAGAATGGTCTCTATATGATGACAATTGTTTAAATATTTGTTGACACTTGCTTTGTGCTGAGTATATTTTATTTTATTTATTTTGTGCTGAGTATATTTTAAATGTTTCATATGCAGGGTTCTATATAATAAATATGTTGTCCATTAAAATAAGTAAGCTTGTTAACTGCTTTGTTCAAATCTTTTCCTGTTTATTTACTTACAAGCTTTCTATCTTTATCTTTTAAATGTGTCCTTTATAAACACCATGTATCTAGATTTTTTAAAAAAATCCAATATGACAATAACTGTCTGAAGAGCTTAGTCCACTTACATTATTGTGATTATTTACATTGTTGAATTTATTTTCCCTATCTTATTTTAGTATTATTATTTACCCTGTTTTTTCTGTGTATTTGTTTCTTCCTTTTCTAATTTCTATTGGGTTAATAAAGTTGTTGTATTTTTTAATCCCCCCAGCCCCCTCTACTTGGTTTGTAAACTATATACATCCTATTTCTGTTCCTTTAGTGGTTATCTTCACATTTATACCATGAATTCTTTTTTTTTTTTTAAAGATTTTATTTATTTATGTGACAGAGAGAGACACGGCGAGAGAGGGAACACAAGCAGGGAGAGTGGGAGAGGGAGAAGCAGGCTTCCCGCGGAGCTGGGAGCCCGATGCAGGGCTCGCCCTGATCCCAGGACCCCGGGACAATGACCCGAGCCAAAGGCAGACATTTAACGACTGAGCCACCCAGGCGCCCTTATAATATAAATTCTTGAATTAGGAAGTCCTCACCCTCTTAGGAATAATATAAGGAATGTCACTATTTTTACCAAGTTTCCAGCATTTAGTTCCACATTATTTTTATATATCCCTGAAGTTAATTGCTATCATTATATAATAAGTTATTATTATTACTGCTGTTCAGCTAGTGCTTACTCAGATTTATTTCATGTTTACCAACATCTTGGTTTGTTGCTGCTTCTTGCATCTCTCAACCTTATGCTAAATTCAGTTTCCTTCTTCCTAAACCACATCTGCTAGTAGTTCATTAGTGAGAGTATCTTATTAAATGGAGCCACAAGATATTTGTGATTTTTGACAGTTTGTGACCTACAACCTATAATTCAACCTAATGGGAAACTCTCTCCATCTTTGATGTCCCAGTATTTTGCTCTTATCATATTTTGTATCAGCTAATGGACAGACTTCTCTTATTTTATTTTATTTATTTACTTTAAATATTTTATTTCTTTATTTGAGAGAGAATGAGAGAGATCACAGAGGGAGAGGGAGAAGCAGACACCCCGCTGAGCAGGGAGCCCGATGCGGGACTCCATCCCAGGACGCTGGGATCATGACCTGAGCCAAAGGCAGACACTCAACAAAAGCCACCCAGGTGCCCCAGACTTCTCTTATTTTAGCCAGTGGGTATTTCCCTTACTTCTTTAAGAGCTCATTGAGCCCCTCGTCAGGCTCCCTGCTCAGCTGGGAGTCTGCTTCTCTCTCTCCCTCCACTCCACCTGGCCGCTCATGCTCTCTCTCTCAAATTAATAAATAAAATCTTAAAAAAAAAAAAAAGAGCTTATTGAATGCATTTTATCTAGTATTTTTAGATAATTTTAAAGTGAGAGGGTTTTTTTCAAATTATTTACTTATGAGATTGCCCCAATGGTTCTCATATGTTCTCATATTCTGATGCTGTTTGGCACAGTTTTATGACTCCTTTTTATCATCATTATTGATCTGAAATCATTAAAAATGCCTTTCTCATTCCCTTTAATTATTTTCTTTTTACCTTTCATTATAATTGTTCTAATATTTATATTGCCGTTATTGCTTTGTTATTGTTTATATTTACTTGATACATCTTTGCTCAACTTCTTATTTTTAACACCATTTCCTCCATTTCCTTCTAAAGAGAAGCAGGGAGCAATTGAATGTTCTAGAAGAATAGTTTACTGTAATTCATCATCTCTAGTATATTGAGTCATGGAGGTAGCACAAATTCTGAACAAATTTTGAAATCCAAGCAATGGCATATAGATGCCAAAATATCACCTCAATACTGTCAAGGCTGAATTGAGGACATGGCTTGGCATAAAAACAAAATGAACCTGCTATAATTAAACCAACTTAACCTCCCAAATTCTAAGCAACAATGGGGCCAACCAGGTAAGCCTTTACAGCATGAGGCATGTGAAGAGGTCCCCAAAAGGAAAGATGGAAAAGGTGAGCTAACCTTGCCTGATTTATAATTCCAAAATTCCCTGACTGATTATTCTACTCACTTTCCTTGAGCAAAAAGGAATTAAGAGATGGAGAGAAGCCAAGAATGACTCATCTCAGGTTGGAAGGAAACATCAAGAGTGTGGAAGAAGGAGTTCTCCTTAACAAGAAACAGACAAGAGGAAACTAATATTTGCTGAGTGTTTGCCATGTTTGTACTCTGGCTAGCCAATTTAAATTGATTGTTTTAATTAATCTTTACAAAACTAGCTGAGATTATCATATTCCCTTTTACAGGTGAAGATACTGAGGCTCAGAGAATTTAAGCATCTTGTTCAGTGTATCACTCGTATGTAGAAAATTAGAGGAAATTACTTTAGTTCCTTACCTCCTACAGTAAGGTTATAAATGCAAAATACTAATCATTCTACGCTAATGTTTCATTTATTCTATTTGTAGAGGTGCTTTTGATATTCAAAAACAGTTTGAGATTCCTGAAAATCTCTATATAAATTCCACTGAATGTCTCCAAGTGCGTTGTCGAGGATTAGAGACGAGTTTGGCTGAATGTACTTTTACTAAGAGAAGAACTAAAAATGACCAGGATTTCGCTAGTTTGGTTTGCTACACACAGAATGCAGGTTGGTAGAGTACTTGCCTGAAACTTCAAAGCTTCCTTCAAAATTGTTTATTGCACACCACATCGGTAGTAAACAAATAAATTTAGGCTTTAGTAAACAAACAATTTAGGCTTTAGAACCTAAATTGGTGCTTTTCCTCTATTGTACCATTTTGCATTCAAATATTACTACTCTCCAGGTTCCTACATGGGGAGCAAAGTTGCCTGACTCCTCTATGCTTGCTGAAACATCTGGATTAAAGTTAATACCACAAACATAAGTAATACAAACATCAGAAGAAACCTCAATATCTCCTTTGAGAGGCCCAGCCTACACACTTCAAAATGTCTTTAAAATATTTAAGTGACCATAGTCTCAAGACAGTCACTGCCACTTTCCTCCTCGGTCCTGACATGGGAATATTTTAGTCATACATAGGGTTTTAAAGGCTAAAGCCTTTTTTGGTGCTAAAGAAAAAAAAAATACCATCAAAATATAAATTGCACTGCCCAAGTAAGTCATGGGATAGAAGTGAGGATTCGTGCAGCAGCTCAAAAGGAATGGGTGAACACCGGTGTTTGCAGATGTGAGCAAGGGCCCGTGATCCCTGAGCCCCCTCCCCCAACCTCAGCAAGTACAGACCTCCGCAGTAAATACTGGTTTTCAGAGATAACGAAAGGGCCTCCATAAACCAGCATTGACATTTATTTTCCCTATTAACCGTATATATTATGTTGATGTTACCAGTATGTTTTATATCATTTTCTATTTGATGCCTGACTTTATCTTAATGTCCTCATTATTCCAAATGTGATCAGGATGTCACCTACAACTCCATAAATAAATTTCACAAAGAGAATTCCTAATTTACAGCTCCTCTAACAAATGACTCCTTTCACTGTGTGAACGGGAAATACATTCCCCAAAAGAGAGCCTGTAACGGTATCAATGATTGTGGAGACCAGAGTGACGAACTGTGCTGTACAGGTAATAGAAGACCCCCCCACTGCATTTCAGAGTCTATCCTATTGGATTTTAAGTATGAAAAAATAAAAATAAAAACCTTCTTCTATGTATGTTTGTGTAGGATGCCGAGGCAAAAGTTTCTTCTGTAAATCTGGTGTTTGTATTCCAAACAAATATAAGTGCAACGGTGAGGTGGATTGCATTACAGGAGAAGATGAAATTGGTTGTGAAGGTAATTAAGGTTTTGTGTTATGTTTTTCCATTACTTGATCTGGGGACTCTGAAACTTTCTTTTAGGTAAATTGTAATCTTAAGTGGGTATAGGGGAGTGTTAGCAGTAAGAGTACTACTGAGTGGGCATTCGAAGAACTATGGAATGTTCTCTCATATTTTCATTTATTAAATACATTTGTTATTTCAGAACTTTTTATCAGAAAAGCTCCCACATAACAAAAATAGACAGATTATTAGAATGAACCAAGATGTGCCTCTCTCCCAGCTTGAACAATTATCAATATTTTGCCAGTCTTGTTCAGCTTGTTTGAGTATTTTATTTTATTTATTTTATTTTTTAAAAGATTTTATTTATTTATTTGACAGAGAGAGACACAACAAGAGAGGGAACACAAGCAGGGGGAGTGGGAGAGGGAGAAGCAGGCTTCCCACGGAGCAGGGAGCCTGATGCTGGGCTCGATCCCAGGACCCTGGGATCATGACCTGAGCCGAAGGCAGATGCTTAAGGACTGAGCCACCCAAGTGCCCCTTGTTTAAGTATTTTAAAGCACATTGAGATATCATGTCACTTCACCTACATACATTTCTAATGATACAAACATGTTATACATACACAATACATGTACATACATGTATGTACATACATATACATACTCTCATTAGTATCCCTAATAATAATAATTCCCTAACACTGCTTAATAACAGCCCATGTTCAAGTTTTCCCAACTGTCTCAAAAAAGCTTTTTTAAAAGATTTTATTTATTTATTTATTTATTTATTTATTTATTTATTTATTTATCTGAGAGAGATTGAGAGAGAGAGTGAGCAGGAGGGACAGGGAGAGAGAATCTGAAGCAGACTCCAAGCTGAGCCCAGAGCCCTATGTGGGACTTGATCCCACAACTGTGAGATCATGACCTGAGCTGAAACAAAGGGTCATCTGATGCTTAACTGGCTGATCCACCCAGGCACCCCTCTCAAAAACGTCCTTTTAGAACAGTGTGTTTGAATCAAGATCCAAAAGAGTCTAACATTCTCTTTGATTATTAAGTTTTTAAGTATCTTTTATTCTTTAAGAATTACGCTTCTCGGCCTTTTGGGTAAGATCAAGTGTAAGAGTTACCCACCTGGAAACACAATGGTCCAATATCTTTGGGACACAGCAAAAGCAGTTCTAAGAAGGGAGTTTATACCAATTCAGGTCTATCTCAAGAAAGAAGAAAAATCCTAAATAAATAATCTGACATCATACCTAAAAGAACTAGAAAAGGAAGAACCAAAAAAGCCCAAAGTTAATAAAAGGAAGGAAATGATAAAGATTAGAGCAGAAATAAATGAGATAGAGACTAAATAAAATTAAATTAAATTCAACTAAAAATGCCAATGAAACCAAGAGTTGGTTCTTTGAAAAGATAAACAAAATTGATAAATCTTTAGTCAGAGTCATTGAAATAAAAGAAAGAAGAGTCAAATAAATAAAATCAGAAATGAAAAAGGCAAAGTAACTGACACCACAGAAATGCAAAGGATTATAAGAGAGTATTATGAAAATGATATGGCAACAAATTGGACAACATAAAAAGAAACTGATAAATTTTTAGAGATATACAATTTTCCAAAACTGAACCAGGAATAAATAGAAAATCTGAACAGACTGGTTACTAGTAATGAAATTGAATTGGTAATCAAAAAAACTCCCAACAACAAAAGTTCACTACCAAATGGCTTTACAGGTTAATTCTACCAAACATTTAAAGAAGAGTTAATATCTATTCTTCTCAAACTATTCCAAAAAGGAAGAGGAAGGAAAACTTCCAAATTCATTCTACATGGCCAGCATTACTCTGATACCAAAACTAGACAAAGACACTACAAAAAAAGAAAATTACACATCAATATCCCTAATGAACATAGATGCAAAAATACTTAACAAAATATTAACAAACCAAATTCAATGATACATAAAAGGATCATTCACCATGATCAAGTGGAATTTATTCCAGGGATGCAAGAATGGTTCTATATCCTCTAATCAATCAATGTGATACATCACATTAACAAAATGAAGGATAAAAACATATTGTCATCACAATAGATTCAAAATAAGAATTTGACAAAATTCAATATCCATTCATGATAAAAACTCTCAACCAAGTGGTTTAGAGGGAACATACTTCAACATAATAAAGTCCATATATGATAAACCTACAACTAACATCATACTCAATGGTGAAAATCTGAAAGCTTTTCCTCTAAGATCAGGAACAAGACAAGGATGTCCACTATTGCTACTTTTGTTCAACATAGTACTGGAGTCTTAACAATCAGACAAGAAAGAGAAAAAAAGAAGAAAGAAAGAAAGAAAGAAAGAAAGAAAGAAAGAAAGAAAGAAAGAAAGAAAGAAAGAAAGAAAGAAAGAAAGAAAGAAAGGAAGGAAGGAAGGAAGGAAGGAAGGAAGGAAGGAAAGAAAGAAAGAAAGAAAGAAAGAAAGAAAAGAAGGAAGGAAGGAAGAAAGAAAGAAAGAAAGAAAGAAAGAAAGAAAGAGAAAGAAAAAGAAAGGAAGGAAGAGAGAAAGAAAGAAAGTAAGAAAGGGCATTTAAATTTGTAAAGGAAAAATAAAACTCCCATTCGCAAATGACATGATACTTTACATAGAAACTCTAGGGGTGTCTGGGGGGCTCAGTCAGTTGGGCACCTGACTCTTGGTTTAGGCTAAGGCTATGATCTCATGGGTCTTGAGATGGAGCCCTGCATTGGGCTCTGCACTCAGTGGGGAGTCTACTTGAAGATTCTCTCCCTCTGCCCCTCCCCACCTCAAATAAATAAATAAATCTTTTTAAAAAAGAAGAAAACTAAAGACTCCACAAAAAACTATAAGAACTAATAAATAAATTCAGTAAAATTGCAGGATACGAAGCTAACATTCAGATATCAGTTGTGTTTCTATATACCAGTAACAAACTGTCAGAGAAAGAAATTAAGATAATAATCCCATTTACAACTGCACCAAAGGAATAAAATACCTAGGAATAAATTTAATTAAGGAGGTGAAAGACTTACACTCTGAAAACTATAAGACATTGATGAAAGAAATTGAAAGTGACACAAATAAATGGGAAGATATACCATGTTCATGGATTAGAAGAACAAATATTTTTTTAAATGTCTATACTACCCAAAGTAATCTACAGATTTAACACAATCCCTATCAAAATATCAATGGTGTTTTTCACAGAACTAGAGCAAAGGATCCTAAAATTTGTATGGAACCACAAAAGACCCTGAATAGCCAAAGCAATCTTGATAAAGAACAAAACTGGAGGTATCACAATCCTAGATTTCAAGATATACTACAAAGCTATAGTAATCAAAATATTATGGTACTGGCATAAAAGCAGACACATAGATCAATAGAACAGAATAGAAAGTCCACATGCTTACATGCTTACATGCTTGATGCTTACATGGTCAATTAACCTACAACAAAGGAGGCAAGAATACACAATCTAGAAAAGACAGTCTCTTCAATAAATGGTGTTGGGAAAGCTGGAAATGTACATTCAAAAAAATGAAACTGGAATGCTTTCTTACACCATGCACAAAAATAAACTCAAAATGGATTAAAGACATAAATGTATGTTAATTAATTGAATTTAAATTAAAAAAATAATAAAGACCTAAATGTGATACCTGAAACCCTAAGTCTCCTAAAAGAGAACATAAGCAGTAATCTCTTGGATGCCAGCTTTAGCAACATTTTTCTAGTATGTCTCCTCAGGTGAGGGAAACAAAAGCAAAAATAAACTATTGGGACTAAAACAAAATAAAAAGCTTTTGCAGAGCAAAGAAAACCATCAACAAAATAAATAGGTGACCTATTGAATGGGAGAAGATATTTGTGAATGATATATCCAAAATATATAAAAACTTATACAACTCAACACACACACACACACACACACACAGACACACAATAATTTGATTAATAAATGGGCAGAGGAATGAACGGACATTTGTCCAAAGAAGACATATAGATGGCCAATAGACACATGAAAAGATGTTCAGCATCTTTAATCATCAGGGAAATGTGAATGAAAACCACAGTAAGATATCACCTCACACCAGTCAGCATGGCTAATATCAAAAAGACAAGAAATAATAAGTGTTGGTGAAGATGTGGAGAAAAGGGAACCCTTGTGCACTGTTGATGAGAATGTAAGTTGGTGCAGCCACTATGGAAAACAGTATGGAGTTTTCTCAAAAAAAATTATATATATGTATATATAACTATCATATGATCCAGCAATTCCACTATTGGGTATTCACCCAAAGAAAACAAAAACACAAATGCAAAAAAGCTATATGCACCTCTATGTTTATTGCAGCATGATTTACAATAGCTAAGATATGGAAGCAGCCTAAGTGTCCATTGACAAATGAATGGATGAAGAATATGTGATACACACACACACACACACACACACACTAGAATATTACTCAGGTCAAAAAAAAAGGATAACATCTTGCCATTTGCAACATGATAAACCTAGAGAGAATTATGCTAAGTGAAATAAGTCAGACAGAGAAATACAAATACCTTATGATTTCACTTATATGTGGAATTTAAAAAACAAAACAAATGAACCAACAAATAAACAAAAGCAGAAACAGATCCATAAATACAGAGAACAAACTGGTGGCTGCCAGGGGTAGGTGGGGAAGATGGGGGAATTAGTTGAAGGAGATTAAGAAGTACAAACTTCCAGTTGTAAAATAAGTAAGTCATTGAAAAGTACAACATAGAGAGTATAGTCAATAATATTGTAATGATGTTGCATGATGACACAGTAACCACACTTACTGTGGTCATCATTGCATAATATATAGAATTGTTGAATCATGAGGTCATACACCTGAAACTAATATAACACTGTATGTCAACTATACTTCAATTTAAGAAATGTTACCTACCTATCCACCCCCAATTTTTTTCATGCCATTGATTTTTAAAGAAACTTGGTCATTTGCCTACAGGATGTTCCTTATTCTGGATTTACAGAGATGTGATGAGATACAAAGTTCAATATTTTAGGCAAGAATTCTTGATGGGTAGTGCTGTGTCCTTTCTATTACATAAAATGTCAAGTTCTCTTGGTATCCCACTATTAATGATGCTAAAATTGATCACTGGACCAGCTTGATCTTTCCTTTTTGAAAAAGTTCCCCCATAACCTTTCATCTTAATGGTTTTTAGTAGCCTCTGTGATTGTTGCCTAGATCCAATTTGTCAATAGGAACTATAAGATGGTGATTTCTTTTTTTTTTAAAGATTTTATTTATTTATTTGACAGAGACACAGCTAGAGAGGGAACACAAGCAGGGGGAGTGGGAGAGGGAGAAGAAGGCTTCCCGTGGAGCAGGGAGCCTGATGCGGGGCTCTATCCCAGGACCCTGAGATCATGACCTGAACCAAAGGCAGCCACTTAACGACTGAGCCACCCAGGCGCCCCAAGATGGTGATTTCTAATTCAGCATTCCTTCTGCATTTATTAATTGGTTTTCTATAGAGAAGAACTTTCCTTCATCAACTATTTTGTTTCCATGAAATGCAATTCATAGTAGAAAGAAAGCATAGTTTTTAATTCTTTCCCTCTACTTACCAAGTTTCAAAGCAATGAGTTAATGCTCTTTGTTTTTTGGTGCTCATTGGAAAACCTCTGATGGTAAAAATATTTACCAAGTACCTACTCTGTGTCACACAGACTGTCTTCTTACTTACATCAGTGCTTTCTGGAAGTTATTATATTCATTCATTTACTCAATGAATATTTATTAAGTTCTTACTATGTGTGCCAGGCCCTGTTCCTGAAAACAGAATCTAATTATTTTTATATTCCACATGTGCCTTACAGGTAAGCATTAAATACATGGTGGAGATATATATGGATAAATGAATTGATAATAATTATGTTTTGCTATTGTTTGGTATTATTTGACTTTACTGAAGTCTTGTTTAATTTCCCATTGACATCAGTTTTTAAACGTAAAAACACATTTTAGGATCTCAAATCATATTATTTCTTTTGAAGTTTATATAAGCAGTTGAGCAAAATACTTTTATGTCCATTAAATATAGTTAAAACCTTAGTAAAGAGAGGAGAGAAAGAAATTTCCAAACGTTTTTTAAGGAGGAAGACAGTAAGTCATGACTCTTGCCAGTGAAGCTTGAGAGTCATTCCTTCCCAGTTTTATTGAAATGGAATTGACATACAACACCATATGTAAGTTTAAGGTGTAAAACATAGTGACTTGACAGACATACATTGAGAGATGATGACCACAGTAAGTTTAGTTAACATCCATCATGTCATATAGTTACATTTTTTTTCTTTTGATGAGAACATTTAGGATTTACTCCCTTAGCAACTTTCAAGTATACCATACAGCAACGGTAACTATAGTCACCACGCTGTACATTACACCCCCAGCACTTATTGATCTGGAAGTTTGTACCTTTTGACCACAGTCACCTAATTCCCCACCCCCTACTCCTGCCCCCAGTAACCACAAATTTGACTTCTTTTTCTATGAGTTTGTTTTGTTAGATTCCACATATAAGTGAGATCACGCAGTATTTGTCTTCCTCTGAAGCTCTACAGTTTGATTTCACTTTTTCAGTATAATGATATTTGGGATTTCTTCTCCTTCTCCTCCTCTTCTGTTCCTTTTCCCTCCATCTTCTCCTTCTCCTGATTCAAAACTCTAAAGTTTAAGGTCAAAAAACAGAATTTGTTGGCTTATCAGGGGGAAAAAAAAATCCCACTGCCAGGGAGTAACCATAACATAAAACTTACTTTTTTTTAATGAATTTCTTGAATCCATATCAAAAATACATTTAGTCAACTGTCATTATTACTTCAGTTTACCCTTCTTTAGAGTGAGCACCACCTTTTATATTTCAGTAGTTGTTCTAATTTTTCACTCTCTAAGCAAGAGCAAATGAGAGAAGAGATGTAAAATAAAAATATTAATATATTCATTGCTCTTTCAGTGGACAGATCGGAATCACTAAACCAAGGGAAGTTTGGAGTATAACTTGGTTTCATGTATCCTGGAAAGCCCAACTTTTATAAATATAAGTTTAACAGGGTTATACATTTTGTATAACTGTATAGTAAATATGCTGTCCATATGTGTTCAAATATATCCAAAATATACAACTCTTTTTAAAACTCAAGGGCGCCTGGGTGGCTCAGTCGTTAACCGTCTGCCTTCAGCTCAGGTCATGATCCCAGAGTCCTGGGATCGAGCCCCGCATCGGGCTCCCTGCTCCGCGGGAAGCCTGCTTCTCCCTCTCCCACTCCCGCTGCTGGTGTTCCCTCTCTGTCTGTGTCTCTCTCTGTCAAATAAACAAATAAAATCTTTAAAAAAAAAAAAAAAAAGAAAGAAAGAAAGAAAGAAAAGTAAAACTCAAGTAAAGGGGTGCCTGGGTGACTCAGTCATTAAGTGTCTGCCTTCGACTCAGGTCACGATCCGAGGGTACTGGAATCGAGCCCCACATCGGGCTCCCTGCTCCGCAGGAAGCCTGCTTCTCCTTCTCCCACTCACCCTGCTTGTGTTCCCTCTCTCGCTGTCTCTCACTCTGTCAAATAGATAAATAAAAATCTTTAAAAAAATAAATAAAATTAAAAAATAAACCTCAAGTAAAAATTATTTCCTTGCCGTAGTTAAATTGGTATCTGTTTAAATGCAATATGAAACATCTGTTATGTGGTATTAAAAATCAAAGAAAGATGACATACTGTGATTCCCCTTTATCTTTGTAAAAAAATTAAGTTGCTGGGCGCCTGGGTGGCTCAGTCGTTAAGTGTCTGCCTTTGGCTCAGGTCATGATCCCAGAGTCCTGGGATCAAGTCCCACTTCGGGCTCCCTGCTCAGCAGGAAGCCTGCTTCTCCTTCTCCCTCTGCCCCTGCTTGTGTTCCTGCTCTCGCTGTCTCTATCTGTCAAATAAATAAATAAAATCTTTAAAAAAAAAATTAAGTTGTTATACCAATTCTGAGATATTAATGATTCGTGTATATTTTATCCAGGTGAACATTATCTTTTTGCTACAGTGAGTGTTTTGTTTTGTTTTTAGGAACTGGACATCCTGAAATTAAAGGTAAATACATTGTTATAATAGAAAATTTATATTACAGAATTGAAAACAATGATAAGGTATTGTATTTTTATGATATATGTATAATATCATTGATATGGTATTCATTTTTCTCAAAAATTATCCTTTGCTGTGGTAAATTTTTGTTTTTTTTACAGGTGGCTTTTTACATGTGGCTCAAGGTAAAAAATTTATTAAATTCTTGGAATATTGCAGAATTGAAGCAAAACAAAGCTACTGCTGTCTTATATATATTTTTAAAGATTTACTTATTTTAGAGAGAGAGTATGTGTGTGAGAGAGAGAGAGAGTGAACTGGGGGAGGCGTACACGGAGAAGGAGAGAGAGAATCTTAAGCAGACTCTCTGCTGAGCATGGAGCCTGATGCGAGGCTCCATCTCAGGATCCTGAGATCATGACCCAAACGGAAATCGAGTCAGATGCTTAACTGACTGAGCCACACAGGCACCCCTCTTCTTATATTTTAATGTAGCTATTAATCACACATGATATGACCACGTGTGAGCAATAACTCAGCTTTCACATTAGTGCAGGCACAGAGGCCTTTCTAATGTCAGCTGAGTACTATTTCAGTCAGTGTTAGTAACTGTTCCCTACCTTATGTAAGGACTTTGTGAATCAGAGTTGAAAAAGAAGCTTTCCTTCTCTGACCCAAGCATTTTGCCTACTCTAAATGCAGAAAACTATAGCACCATGAGTCTCACCATTCACTTGTACCAAGAGACACCTCTAGTTGGTACCTGCAAAATTTCTACATAGTTCATCCTGAGCCTTCACAATTACCTAGGTATAGAAAGGAAATAAGATGGTGTACTTTGAGGATTTGTACTGTCCTTTTTAAACAAAGGACAGGTTTGGGGGCGCTTGGGTGGCTCAGTGGGTTAAGCATCCGACTATTGATTTTGGCTCCAGTCATGATCTCAGGGTGATAAGATCAAGTTTGTGTCCATGGAGCCTGCTTAAGATTCTCTCCCTCCCTCCACCCCTCCCCAACTCGTGCATGCCCATGCATGTGTGTGTGCTCACGCTTTCTCTCTCTCTCATCAATCAATCAATCAATCGAGGACAGGTTTTAAGACAGAAAATTATGATCAAAGTTGAAATAATTTTAATTATTTAATTTCTGTTATAAACACAACCATAAACATTGGAACTTTTTGTTTTATTATAGAAGAAACAGAATTTTTGACTGCTGATATGGATGAAGGTAAATTAACATTATTCTTTTTTACTAGTGCTTCCTTGATTTACATCTGCATTTTAATGTTGTGTGTGTATGTATGTATGTATGTATATATAATTAATTCAAGCAACAATTACCTTTGCTATCAATGTAAATAGAAAAAAATAACATTACTCTTCTTATCACTTTTAAGAAAAACACACATAAAGGTTTCTTGAGAACTGCTTTTAAAAATGGGTTAATTCACAAGGCTAATTTTGAAGTGAAAACAATATTTTAGAGCTACATAACATTTTTTTATTTGCTATGAGCTTTGTTATGTCAGTTTTGTCAAAAACAACCAGATTTCGAGCATGACCCATGACGTTTTGAAATAGAAAAATAATAGACTTTACTTGAGCTAATTGGTTCTTTTTCAATGTTTTAAATCCTGATAACAGAAGGTCTGTGAAGATCTGTATCCCGGCCAGTTGTGCACTGAGAGCTAAATTAAATTAAAGTATTAAGTCCCTGCGGAGACAGTAATTAATAAGAGTTTTTGGGTCAGACAGACTTGAGTCATCCTGACTCAGTTATTTATTAACTGTGTAACCTTAGGTGAATAACTTAACCTCAACTACAAATTGGGAATAAAATAGCTCCCTGTTTTAGGGGGAATTTAAGCTGAAGTTCGCATCAAACTCTCTTCTAATTGCCAGGCCCCAAAATTAATTAACAATTTTTTTTCATCAGGCAATGAGTGAAAGATTTAGATTTTGAAGATACAGCCATCAGTCCGAGGAGATTTTTCACCAAAGGCCCTTTATTTTCTACTCAATGTAGCGTTGGTTTTCAGATAGTGCCTGAGTTGCTTCCACAATCCTCAGTAGATGAGGTCTCTCTTCTTTTAAAGGTCCAAGAACAAATTTAAAACTTACCATCACACTCTTCCCCCAACCCAGTTCTTAGAATGGGTGGGACAAAACAAACAGACAAAAACCCATCCATATTCACTCACGACTTCTCTTCCTTAAAGACCCACCTTCTTCTTATATGCCCAAAGTAATTGACAGTGATATTAATTTTCCTTTCTCATTTGGGCCTAAGAAGCAAGTTTGTAAAAATACTCATGATGTACTAAAATATAGAGAAAGAATAAGGAAAACAGCTTATATTTTTACTTTCGCCCTTTTTCATGAATTCTTCCGCCAATTCCCATCTCAAGCCTTGCTCTGCCAGGTGTCTCCGTGACAAGTGTGCCACATCTGAATGTTCACAGAGGAAGGAAATATCATCATGTGTCAAGTGACCAAGAAAATACCCCCTCGCCCACTGATCCTGGATTGTCCATGGGTCCCTGGCACATTACCTCGCAGGGTTAATATGATGATTAGATGAAATAAACTACATACAAAATATTTAGCATGAGGACTGACACAGAAAGTGCTCAAATGTTAACATCATTAATGTTAATACTATTGAAAAGAATTCCATATGAACAGCCTCTGTAAAGTAAAAACTATGAAAGTGAGAAGATATAGGTGCTCATGTTGTCAGCTCATTCTGATGATTTCTGAATGAAACCCTCATCCTGAGTATGCCTGGCCATGTGACATCTTTTATCTCTCTGCCAAAGGCAGAGATAAAAATGTTTAACCCTTCAGCTAGCCTCTTTCTGCCACCAGTGTACCTTTAGGCAGAACTTCATAGAATCAAGCCAATTTTCATATTAAGCCAGAATTTTTGAACAAGGTAAACAGTACCAATTAGCATCTAAAATAATTTATTAATCAATTCAGTCTGTTTTGTTTTAGCAGTGACTTTGCTGGTTTTGTGGCATAAATTATCAAGAAGTAATGGGTTCAAAATCATAATGATACAATCTCTTCCTTTCTTGAAGAAAGAAAACGGATAAAGTCATTTCTCCCTAAAGTGTCCTGTGGAGTTAAAAACAGCGTGCCCATTCGAAGGAAACGAGTCGTAGGAGGAAAGCCGGCACACATGGTAAACCTGTTACTTCCCAGGAGCAGTCCATGTTTGAAAAACAAAGAAAGGTGGGGGAGATACATAATGATAAGAGACTGGGAGTCTTGCAATAGGCATATCTTAGGGCCACCTGTCTATCACCGTCTGGTAGAATGACAGTGACCACACTAATGTCTCTTACAGGGAGACTTCCCGTGGCAGGTGGCAATTAAGGAAAATGAGAAAATCAAATGTGGAGGAATTTATATTGGAGGGTGTTGGATTGTAACTGCTGCACACTGTGTCAGGTAAAAAATGTCTCCAAAAAGATTTTGGATTCCCTGAAATAATGAAAGTGGGTAATAGAGATTGTGGCAGATGATAGATAAAAGCATGTGACAAATTCCACTCTCTTGACAGCTAAATCCCCTCCAGTATTCATGATCGGAATCCCAGAGGCCATCTGTGTTCTTCCCCCCCACCCCGCCCCCAGACCAAATTATGATCCCAGATGGCAAGTTCAGATCAAACCCATAGGTACCAAGTTCTGTCACGTGACTCATTTGCATGATGGGAAAGCAAGTAGATACTACCTACGTTTTGTAGAGTTAGGACCAAACTGTTGAGAAGAGTTTATGACCGAAAAGTTTATGAAGAGGTGATACTAACCTGGCATTTTCTCTGGTCTCTCTTCAACAAGGATGTTGTTTAAGAGCCTCATGCATTTAAAAGCTTCAAATGCACAAATCTTTTTTGCCCCTTCCACATACCCTTAAATGTATTTGATATGTGTTCCAGACAGTAAAGGAACTGCTCAGAGCTCCACACTAATTGTCTCACGTGCTGTTCCAGCGCTGGCTGGCTCGTCTGCTGCATGCGTGCATCACTGATGTCTCTTCTTCTTCCCGTAAGGAGACCAATCGAATGGGTTCAGAACTCCACTTATGACTTTATTTAAACTTCATTACCTCTTTAAAGACTATCTCCAAATCTAGTAATGTTGGTGGGTAGGTCTTCAACATAGGAATTTTAGGGGAACACAATTCAGTCTATACCGGTAGCTTAAGGGCAATACACAAAAGGTGCTGATAACAAGTCAAGGTCAGCTGAAGGACAGAGTTTGGGCTTCCAGCCTCAGTGCTGATCTTTAGAATGAATGAAACATCCTTTGTTGAGTGCCTCTAACAGGCCAGATAATGGGTGTGGCATTTTCACATATGTTATTTTGTTTTAATATTCTTAACAGCCCTAAGAGGCAAATATTAGTCTTCCCATTTTGTGGATTAGCAGACTGAGATGAGAAGGTACATAACTTGGCTAAAGTTACACTCCTAGTCAGCAGCAGAAACATAATTGTCGGTACCATCTGTCACCATACAAAGCTTTTACAATATTATTGATTATATTCTCTATGCTGTATGTTACATCCCCTTGGCTTATTTACTTTATAACTAGAAGTTTGTACTTCCTAATCCTCTTCACCTATTTTGCCCACTTCCCAATTCCTCCCCCTTTTTCTATGAATCTGTTTCTGTTTGGTTTTTGTTCATTTGTTTTGTGTTTTAGATTCCACACATAAGTGAAATCATATGGTATTTGTCTTTCCCTGTCTGACTTATCTTACCTAGCATAATACTCTCTAGATCTATCCATGTTGTTGCAAATGGCAAGATCTCATTCTTTTTTATGGCTGAAAATTTTTCTATTGTATACATACATCACATCTTCTTTATCCATTTATCTATTGATAGACGCTTAGGTTGCTTCCATATCTTGGTTATTATAAATAATGCTGCAGTGAACATAGGAGTACATATATGCCTTCAAATTGGTTTTCATTTTCTTTGGGTAAATACCCAGAACAGAATTGCTGGATCACATGGTAGTTCTATTCTTAAGTTTTTGAGGAACCTCCATACCTCCATACTGTTTTCCTTAGTGGCTGCACCAATGTACATTCCCACCAACAGTGCACAAGGGTTCCCTTTTCCTGACATCCTGGCCAACACTTGTTATTTCTTGTCTTTTTGATACTAGCCATTCTGATGGTTTTGATTTGCCTTTCGCTGATGATTAGGGATGTTGAGCACCTTTTCATGTGTCTGTTGACCATCTGTATGTCTCTGTATGTCTTTGGAAAAATGTCTATTCAAGCACTCTGCTCATTTTTTTTTAATTAACATAATGTATTATTTGTTTTAGTGGTACAGGTCTGTGATTACACATCAGTCTTACACAGTTCATAGTGCTCACCATAGCACATACCCTCCCCAATGTCTATCACCCAGCCACCCCATCCCTCCTACCCCCCTCCACTCTAGCAACCCTCAGTTTGTTTCCTGAGATTAAAAGTCTTTTATAGTTTGTCTCTTCCCATTTTTTAATTGGGTTTTTTTATATTAAGTTGTATAAGTTCTATATATATATATGATATTAACTATATATATAGTTATATATTTATATATGATATTAACTCCTTGTCAGATTTATGATTTGCAAATTTCTTCTTCCATTCAGTAGGTTCTCTCTTTGTTTTGTTGACAGTTTCCTTCATCATACAAAAGGTTTTTAGTTTAATATAATCCTGTGTTTATTTTAGCTTTTATATTCTTAGCTCCTTTGTCATAGATTAATTGACCATATATATGTGTGAGATTTTTTCTGGGCTCTCTACACTATTCCATTGATCTATGGGTCTGTTTTCAGGCCAGTGCCATAATGTGTTGATTATTATAGCTTTGTAGTATAGTTCAAAATCAGGGAATTTGATACTTCCAGGTTTGTTCTTCTTTCTCAAGACTGCTGTGGCTATTTGGGGTCTTTTGTGGTTCCATACAAAGTTCAGGATTCTTTTTTCTAGTTCTATGAAAAATACCATTGGTTTTTTTATTTAAAAAAATCACAGTAAATGTGTAGATTGCTTTGGGTAGTATAGACATTTTAACAATATTGGTTCTTCCAATCCATATAGTATGTCTTTCCATTTATTTGTGTCACTTCTAATTCTTTCATCAATGTCTTATAGTCTTTTATTTCCTTAAATTTATTCCTAGGTATTTTATTCTTTTTGGTGCAATTGTAGATAGAATTATTTTTATTCTGATAGTTCATTATTAGTGTATAGAAGCAATTAATATCTGTATGTAAATTTTGTACCCTGTGATTTTAGCAAATTCATTTATTAGTTCTAATAGTTTTCTGGTGGTGTCTTCAGAGTTCTTGCTCTCTCTCTATATATATATATGCCATCAGCAAATAGTGACAGTTTTACGTCTTTCATATCAATTTGGATGCCTTTTCTTTTCTTTTTTTTTTTTTTTTTGGTCTGATTGCTGCAGCTGGGACTTCCAGTACTCTGTGGAATAAAAGTGGCAAGGTGGGCATCCTTGTCTTGTTTCTGAACTTAGGGGAGGAAAGGCTTTCACCAGTGTGTATGATGTTAACTGCGGATCTGTCATGCGTAGCCTTTATTATGCTAAGGTACATTTCTTCTATATGCACTTTGTTGAGAGTTTTTATCATAAGTGGATGTTGAATTTTCTTTCCTGCATCTATTGAGCTGATCATATGATTTTGGTCCTTTGTTTTATTAATATGGTGTATCACATTGATTGATTTGTAGATGTTAAGCCATCCTTACATCCCTGGAATAAATCCCACTTGATCATGGTGAACGATCCTTTTAATGTACTGTTGAATTCAGTTTGCTAATATTTTGTTGATGATCTTTGCATCTATGTTTATCAGAGATACTGGTGTGTAGTTTTCTTTTCCTGTAGTGTCTTTGTCTGGCTTTGGTATCAGGGTAATCCTGGCCTCATAGAATGAATCTGGATGTATTCCTTCCTCTACAATTTTTTGGAACAATTTAAGAAGGATAGGTGCTAACTCTTCTTTAAATATTTGGCAGAATTCACCTGTAAAGCTGTCCAGTCTTGAACTTTTGTGTATTTTAAGTTTTTAAGTTACTGGTTTAATTTCATTACTTGTAATCAGTCTATTCAGATTTTCTATTTCTTCATGATTCAGTTTTGGAAGGTTTATGTTTCTAGGAATTTATCCATTTCTTTTAGGTTTTCCAATTTGGTGGTGTATAGTTCATAGTAATCTCTTATAACCATTTCTATTTCTGCGGTGAGTGTAACTTTTCCTCTTTTGTTTCTGATTTTACCTATTTAGGCTCTCTTTTTCTTGATGAGTCTGGCTAGAGGTTTATCAAACTTTTTATCTTTTAAAAAATCTGCTTTTAATTCTATTGTATTTTTCTATTTTTTGTCTCTATTTCATTTATTTCTGTTCTAATCTTTGTTATTTCCTTCCTTCTACTAACATTGGGCTCTGTTCTTTTTGTAGTGCTTTTAGGTATAAAGTTAGATGGTTTATTTGACATTTCTCTTGTTTCTTTAGGTAGGCCTTTATTACTATGAACTTCCCTCTTCAAACTGTTTTTGCTGCATCCCATAGATTTTGGACTGTTTTGTGTCCATTTTCATTTGTGTCAAGGTGTTTTTTATTTTTTCTCCTTGATTTTTCACTGACCCATTGGCTGTTTAGTAACATGCTCTTTAACCTCCTTGTGTTTGTGTTTTTTCCAGTTTTCTTCTTGTAGTTGATTTCTAGTTTCATACTTACATGGTCAGAAGAGATGCTTGATATGATTTCTATCTTCTTGAATATATTAAGACTTGTTTTGTGGCCTAACATAGGATGCACTCTGGAGAACATCCCTATGTGCTTGAAAAGAACGTGTATTCTGTAGTTTTTAGATAAAATGTTCTGTATATATCTATTAAGTCCATCTAGTCTAATGTATCACTTAAGGCCAATATTTCCTTATTGATTTTCTGTCTGGTTGCTCTATCCATTGATGTAAGTGGTATATTAAAGTCCCCTACTATTCTTGTATTTCTGTATCTTCCTTTATGTATGTTAATACTTGCTTTATATATTTAGGTGCTCCTATGTTGGGTGCATAAATCATTATGAATGTTATATCCTTTTCTTGGATTTACCTTTTATCATTATGTAATGCTCTTCTTTATCTTTTTGTTATAGTCTTTGTTTTAAAGTCTATTTTACCTGTTGTGAGTATTGCTACACCAGCTTTCTTTTTGTTTCCATTTGCATGGAACATCTTTTTCCATCCCCTCATTTTCAGTCTGTGTGTGTCTTTAGATCTGAAATGAGTCTCTCATAGGCAGCATATAGATGAGTCTTGTTTTCAACCCATTCAGCCACTCTATGTCTTTCAACTGGTGCATTTAATTCATTTACATGTAATTATTGATAGGTATGTACTTATTGCCATTTTGTTAATTGTTTATTGGTTGTTTCTATGGTTCTTCTCTGTTCCTTTCTTATTCTCTGCATCTCTTCCATTGTGGCTTGATGGTTTTCTTTAGTTTTATGTTTGGGTTCTTTTGTTATTTTTTGTATATCTATTGTAGGTTTTTGGTTTGTGCTCACCGTGAGGCTCATATGTATTAACCTGAAGTCTCTCTCTCTTCCCATATATATACACACACACAGAGCTGATAGTCACTTAAGTTTGAACACATTCTAAAAGCAATACATTTTTTTACTCCTTCCTTCATATTTAAAATTTTTGATGTCTTAAATAAAAAGATGTATCTTTTTATGTGTATCCCTTAACTGCTTATTTTAGTTATAGTTGATTTTACTATTTTTGTCTTTTAACCTTCATATTAACTTTGCAAGTAGCCAATTTACTTTACTGTCTTTACTATATATTTACCTGTATCAGTAAGATTTTTTTTCTTTCGTATATTTTCTTATTTCTAGTTATGGCTTTCCCTCTAACATTTTTTGTAAGGCCAGTCTAGTGGTGATGAACTTCAGATTTTGCTTGTCTGGGAAATTCTTTATCTCTTCTTCAATCCTGAAGGATAATCTTGCCAAATATTGTAGTCTTGGTTGTAGCTTTTCCTTTTCAGCACTTTAAATATATCCTGCCACTCTCTTTTGGCCTGCAAAGTTTCTGCTGAAAAATCAGCTGATAGTCTTATGGGGCTTCCCTTGTTTGTAACTATTTGTTTTTCTCTTGCTGCTTTTAAGATTTTCTCTTTAAGGACACCTGGGTGGCTCAGTTGTTAAGCATCTGCCTTCGGCTCAGGTCATGATCCCAGGGTCCTGGGATTGAGCCCCACATCGGGCTCCCTGCTCAGTGGGAAGACTGCTTCTCCCTCTCCCACTCCCCTGTTTGTGTTCCTTCTCTCGCTGTGTCTCTCTCTGTCAAATAAATAAATAAAATCTTTAAAAAAAAAAAAAGATTTTATCTTTAACTTTTGCCATTTTAATTATAATGTGCCTTGGTATGAATCTCTTTGGGTTCATCTTGTTTTGGGACTCTCTGTGCTTCCTGGACCTGCATGTCTGTTTCCTTCCCCAGGTTAAGAAAGTTTTCAACTATTATTTCTTCAAATAAATTTTCTGCCCACCTCTATTTCTCTTCTCCTCTGTGGACCCCTAAAATGTGAATGTTAGTGTACTTGATGTCCAAAGATCCCTTAAACTACACTTTTTAAATTTTTTTTTTTCTTTTTGCTGTTCTGCTTGGGTAATTTCCACTATTCTGTCTTCCAGATCACTGATCTGTTCTTATGGATCATCTAATCTGCTATTGATTTCCTCTAGAGTATTTTTTAGTTCAGTTATTGTATTCTTCAGCTCTGTGACTTCTTTTTGGTTCTTTCATATTTTTCAACTCTTTGTTGAAGTTTTCACTCTGTTCTTCCATTCTTCTCCCAAGTTCAGTGAGCATCTTTATGACCACTATTTTGAACTATTTATCAGTAAATTACTTACTTCCATTTCATTAGGGTTTTTTTTTTAAGCCCTGGGGTTTTATCTTGTTTGTTCTTTTATTTGGAACATATTCCTCTGTCTCCTGATTTTGTTTGAATTTTTCTGTTTCTGTGAATTAGGCAGAACTGCTACCTTTCCCAGTCTTGAAGGAGTGGTCTTGTGTAGGTGCTTCCCTGTGAAGACTGTGTGTGCTGGAGGTTTTGGTTGACTGCCCAAAGATGGAGCAGGCATGGGCCAGGGGGTCTTAGGGCATGCTGCACTGGGGCCACCCTACAGGAACAGCTGGAACTGGAGTGGGCATGGGTCTGGGGGTCCCACGGTGCTCCATGCTGGAACCACCTGGCTGGAGAGCTGGAGCTGGAACAGGCCTGGGTTGGCAGGTTCCAGGGTGCTCTGCACCAGGGCCACTATGGCAGGATAACTGGAGTGGGGCAGGCAGGCTGGCCCCTCCATATAGGGGCTGCCCTGGTGGGATGGCTGGAGCTGAAGCAGGTGCAGGCTGGAGGTGTCCTGGAGTACTTTCCACCTGGGCCTCCTTGGTGTGATGGCTGGAGATATATTGGGCACAAACATGGGGTATCTGGGTGTGCCTGTACTGGGGCAGCCTCAGTGAGATAGCTGGAGATGGGATGGGTGCAGGCAGGGGCCCATATAAAGGGAATGGCTGGAGCTGTGAGGGCTAGGAATCTGGGGTCACTGAGGCTGTAGGCCAGCCAGAGTGTCTGGTCCCTGCTCCCCTCTGTGCTATCAGGGTGGAGGGGAAACAGATAATGGCACTCACCAGCACCTCCAGGTCATCTAATCAAGTCTGGAGTTCCCATCATTACCATGTCTCTGCCTCTCCTACCATTCTCTATGTGGTCCCTCTGTTGTTGTTGTGCAGAAGCTGTTCAATTAGCCTCCTGTTCTTCTTCAGGAGGTATTGCTCTATATGTAGGTATAGATTTGGTGTGTCCATGGGATAAGGTGAGTTTAGGGTGAGTTCCTACACTGCCATCATGGACCACCACTCTCAGTAGTCTTAATCTATGTTGTTTCTACTTTTTTAATGCATATTCTCATGAATTTTGGTGGGAGGAAGGGCCCACTTCTCCCTTAGAGAGGCTGAAAATGTCAGACACTTGCTTTGCCAGGCTTGTTTGCTTCTAGAGTATCTAAACAACATTGGCCCATTAAGCTCCATATGATCTGACCCCTAATTACCTTTGCCAATTTCATCTTGCCCCACAGCTTCAACTCTTGCTGTCTGCTCTATCTGCTCTGGACTTCTTTCAGCTACTCATGTGCACCTTGCTCCCTGTTGCAGAGAGACCTTCATATGTTATTTCTCATGCCTGAAATGATTTCTCCTACCCTGTTTCTCTAGTTAGTGCTACTCTTTATTCAGATCTTAGCTCCATCTTCACTTCCTCAGAGAATCTGCCCTGACTCCCTTAAGTCAAAGCCTTCTTGATAAGTTCTCAGAACCCCATGTGCTGTTCATTCTTCTTGCTTTAGAATATATATCTTCATTATTGTCATTACCCATTTAATACTGCAGCTTTACTTAGATCCTGAGCTCCATGAAGGCAGGAACGATTTCTGATTTGGTTCATTTCAGTATCCCAGTGGCTAGTACAGTGCCTGGTAATAGTAGGTGCACACTAAGTATTTGTTAGTAAATGGAATGAATAGACAGAGTTAACCTTTAAACAATATTCATGACCTCTGATCCTAAAAAAACAACCAAAATTAATATGGTGCACAGCATTCTTGGAATATTAAATATAAATGAAAGCATCCTGAACACCTCCTTGGCTCCTAGAACAACACTGTTTAAATGTTAGGTGATTACCTGAGATAATGATGGTAAATGCCAATTTGCTGGAAACCATGAGGTGAAAATTAGTATGAAAATTGAGTGAAGCATAAGAACAAGCAATATTTAGCTCATTAACCATTTAAACTAAATTTTAAAACAGCGAATATATGCCAGGTACAATACTAGATGCAGGCATCTAGCCACAGATGAATTAGATCCCATCTTTGACCTCCAGTAGCACAATCCAACAGGAAGAAAAGCTTGTGAGCAAATAAATACAATGCAATGTTAAGATGAAATCAGTTTTAAACACAGGATAATGACTGCTATGGTTTTCATCCTAAGAACCTCTGGGTTTGGCAGAGTAATGAGAATGTATGTCCTGATTTCCCCATTTCCTCAACCACATTTCTGGCTACATGCTTTCTGGTCTCTGCTTGAACACCTTCAGTGATGGTGCTCTCACTCCAGAGGCAGCCAACTCATTCCACTTCTGGGCACCTCTGGTTATTAGTGAGTTCTTTATGTCCCTGATATGGAGCAGTTAGATGGATTATTCCTCTCTTCATTTACCCACTGACTTTAATTCTACCCCATAAATTTAATCACACTGCTTCATGACCGCAAGAATTTTTTAAAAATCTGGAAAAAGGAAGAAAGTCCTTTAAAAGGGAAGATATAAAGATAAAGCATCAGATGTTCATGTTTATAGTTGGTATTTTTCCTCAATATATCTTATCTCCCTTTTCCTTTCTGTTATAGCATGAGTAAAATATACCATTACCAAATATGGGCATCATTTCTAGATTCGTTAAGACCTGACATCGACGTAATTGTTCACTTGGCAAATAAAATTATTATTCATGAAAAGTACAATGGAACCACCTATGAAAATGACATAGCTTTGATTGAATTGAAAAAACACTCAAACCGAAAAGAATGTGACCTGCCTAATTCCATCCCTGCCTGTGTCCCCTGGTCTTCATATCTATTTCAACCTAACGACAAATGCATTGTTTCTGGCTGGGGTCGAGAAAAAGGTATATGTTTTAAAATTTTTGATCAGAATCCAGGGGTTGAAATAAATGGGAATAGAAATGGATAGGAGCTAATTTCCTAGTACTCAGGGAGAAACATAGCAGCAAATCCAGAAAAATGAGCATTCAGCCAGGGCTAGCTTCATGGATGTGAGACCTGTGCAGTTGCCCAGCATCCCAGGCTCCAAAGGGCCCCTTGCTTAGTGTACAGCTCTGCTGTCATCATCATGAAATTCTTAATAATTTTTGCAGCAGCCCCCACCTCACGTTTTATTTTTCACTGGGCCCTGAAAATTATGTAGCTGATCCTGATCCAGAGTTTCAAAGGACACCTACACTCTGTGATCTTGAAGCATACATTGAGGGGTAAACATTTACAAAAAAAAAAAAAAAAAGTAGACTGACGTGGGACGTATATAGCATGAACTTTCTGGATTTGTTAGAGAGACATGGATGGAAGATAAAGTGGTTTCCAAAGGAATAGTCAAAGTATGAGTGAGTCATTAATCCCACAACCCTGTGCTCTCTCCTCCACTCCCCCATTCTCCTTGCCTCACCCTCCCCATCACATCCCACAAAGAGGAAGAAAACATAAAGAATTATTTTTTGAGCTTCTAAGAAGACTTGAGGTGAACATTTGTATGAATAAGCTATGTAGACACTTAGAGACAAATTATTAGAAAAACTGGCTAAATAAGAAGTTAGATTAGAATTAAATTAGTCAATGCTTTTTCCCTTATCTTGAAGAGTTAGCTTTGAAATTTAGCTTCCTTTTGACCTCCTACATACTCTTTGTAAATAACTTCACTACATTGGTCTTATAGACTCATACTCCAACACATTACTTAAAATTGCTACATGGAAAAGCATAAAATATGTGTATAAATTAACCAAGACTAAATTTTATTAGTAATTAGTTTATCCAGAAGGCATATGTCCTTACATTTGTTCCTTTAAAAAAAAAAAAAGCTTTTATTATGTACATTTACAAGTATACAGAAGAGTAGAGACAAGAGTATAATAAACCTACTTATTCATCACCCAGTTTCCAGTTATCAGCACTCTACCATTCTTGTTTTATCTCTCTGAATCAATCACAAGCTCAATAGGATAATTAGGAAGGGTTATTTATAAAGGGATTAATTACAGGGATGTGGATAGGGGTCAGGGAGCCACAAGGGCCATGCAGCAACCTGGGACCAACAGTACCAGAACAGCCTCTCTTAGGTGCAAAGATGTGAAAGGAAGAAGTTACCAAGAGAAAGAACCTCAGGTAGAGCAGGCTGCCTTGAGAGAAGCAATGACTTTGGATCGAAGGTTATAGCCAACCCCAATCTCCTTATCCTCTCTCCTTACCCTCCCTTCTTCTGCTGGGGTTTTTTATTGAAAACCAGAGGCTAAGAGATTCCTATTGAGGCAGTCCCTCAGATCAGGCTCTTTGGGCAGGATGCAGGGCACTGAAGGGTGGAGAGTGGATCTGAAGGACAATTGGGAGCTATTGAACATATTCCCTCTACCCCACACATTTTTTTCCTGGAGCATATTAAATCAAACCCAGATATAAAGTGATTTCATCCATGAATATTCCAGTAGATATCTTTACCAGGTAGGGACTTAAAAGAACAAAAATGAAAGCAAAAACACACCACCATTCATACACAACAAAATGAAAGTGATCCCATAATAATATCTAATAACCATCCCATGTTTAATATTCCTCAATTACTTACAAAGTATTTTTACAATCAGGGTTATTTCCATTGGGATCCAAAATCTGCACATTGCATTTGGTGGCTATTTTTCTTAAGTCTCTTTTAATCTTGAACAGTTACCCATTCCTTTCATTTAAAATGTATTTATTAAAGAAACTGGGTCATTCTTATTTTGGAATTTTCACACCTTGAATTTGGATGATTGTATCCTTGATGTGGCATTTCACATATTCTTCTATTCCATGTATTTCCTATAAACTGGTACATATGTTCTTATGCATTGTTTTACTTATTAATCAAATATAGTTTAACACATTTTTTGAGCCCTTACTATGCTTGCAAGATAATAATGCTAAGTGCTAGGATTTCCCTGATGAATAATATGTACCAGGTCAACAAGGAGTATAGAGGCTACAGATCTCAAGGGACTTAGAGTACAGAGGAGCCATCAGACGTGGATGCCACTGTCAGACAGCAGAATGTGACAGATGCCTCAAGAAATACACAAAACAACGGGGTGCTTGGGTGGCTTAGTCGGTTAAGCATCCAACTCTTGATTGTGGCTCAGGTCAAGATCTCGGGGTTGTGGGATCAAGCCCCACATCAAGCTCCATTCTGAGCATGGAGCCTGCTTGAGATTTTCTCTCCTTCTCCCTCTGCCCCTCCCCACTCACACTCTCCCTTTAAAAAAGAAAAAAAAGAAGTATACAAAACAAGAGTTCAGGAGAGGGAGTAATCTGAGCCATTAAAAACTGTTCACACGGTGGGCACCTGGGTGGCTCAGTTGTTAAGCGTCTGCCTTCGGCTCAAGTCATGATCCCAGGGCCCTGAGATTGAGCCCCGCATCGGGCTCCCTGCTCAGCGGGGAAGCCTGCTTCTCCCTCTCCCACTCCCCCTGCTTGTGTTCCCTCTCTCGCTCTGTCTCTCTCTGTCAAATAAATAAATAAAATCTTAAATTAAAAAAAAAAGAAAAGACTGTCTTAAAAAAAAAAAATTGTTCACATGGTACAGGAGTTCCCAGTTTTTAAACACTTCTCCTGAGTTAGAAGGAATAATAAATTACTAATTAAAGAAAAAAAAAAAGCTCTTAACCTGAAGATAGCATCTTAAAACTAACTTGAAGTAAGACATGAAGGAGAAAAAAAGAAACTCTTTCCTAATTTGCCCTATACTTGGGTGGATTTTTGTCTCCCCCTGCTTCTCAGAAGAGAATAGTATTAGTTTCACAGTTTATTACATACCCGCTACAGTGCTAGGGTCCGTGGAGGTGTCCTCTCAAGATATCCAGAAGCCTCTGTCCCCTGATAGTTTATACATTAAGTTAGGGGGTGAGTCATTTGGCCTAAGTTGTTTAGTGTATAATTGGATTATGGAGTTCATGGATGAATAAATTACATGAATATTTATTAAGCAACTACTTTGTGCTAGCATGAGGCTGGGTGCTAGCATAGCAATCCATCAATCAGGTCCAGTCCTTGCTCTCCTAGAGCATAAAAATTGCTGAAAGCTTGAGGAAAAGGAGGAGGGGAGATGGGGCAAAGACTCACTCCTTACACCCAAGACATCTCACCCCATATTCTTAAGTTTTTCTTATCTTCCTGGACTGTCAATCAGCAACAGTATCTGCCCCTTCTCTCTCCTTAGATGAAAAACATTCAAGCCCCACATCTCTAACTCAGATGAAAAGGAAATCCTAAATCCTCTTTCAAATCACTTAGGAAATGAACTTCTTCAGACACACAAAAACATACACACTGATAACTTCATATACATTTTCTCCATTTAACTTCTTATATTAGAAGGCCATTTTCACTCTAACCAGCACTTTCCAGGAAATCCGGGATGTAAGATGATAGGAGCTATTCATGTGAGAAAATGTTGATCACTGACTCCTACCCAGCTCCCACGCTGGACTCAGCAATCAAAGGGGAGGGAGTTTATCTTGTTCAGCTCAGAGCATCCAGGTCTTTGTGATAATGGGAACGACTTCAGGCATGTGTTCAGGAATGCCCCTTAACTTTTTTTTTTTAAAGAGTCTATTTATTTGCCCCTTAACTATTTTTAGAAAGACAGTTGGAGAAACTGGACATAGGAGCAGTGTGTGATTAAATATGTTAATGAACTCTCCTCAAAAGTTGATATATGTGTTAAGGAATATATATAATCTTCTCTATGCCTCGTGGTTTACTAAATGATGAGAGTATTTATTTAGATTTCTCATTGGTGACTTCTAAATGTCTGTTCTCTCCCTTTGCTAGATAACCAAAAAGTCAGTTTACTTAAGTGGGGTGAAGTTAGCCTAATCAGCAACTGCTCCAGGTTTTATCCGGGTCGCTATTTTGAAAAAGAAATGGACTGTGCAGGTAAGCATGGAGTGGTTTCCCTAAGATCTATACCTATACCCCCTACCAAACATCTCCCCTCCTCTCCAAATCCGCCTCCTTGCTCTGGGCCCTGGGCCCTTTCATCGGGCCTCCTGGCTGGGGCTTCCCTAGCCCTTCACTCAATCCCTTATGCTAATAGGAAGAGGAAGAATCTTCCTTACACCACCGCCACCATATAGAAAGGTGCCTAAAAGCACAGACTCTGGAACCAGGCTGCCTGGGCTTATATCCCCATTTTTACCAGTTACGACTCACATGGCCTTGAGCAGGCTTCCGCATCTGCAAAATTGGGGATCTTCATAAATGAGGAAACTGAGATGCAGAGCAGTTACATAATTTGCCCAAAGTCTTATAAGAAGTGGCAGATCCAGGATCAAAACCCAACCTTTTTCTGAATAAAATCTGAATGATCTCATTTCAGATGTGTCCGCTTGGAAGTAAATCCTCCCTCCCCAGCAATCCCATGGCACTTTTGATGACCCTGCCACCACCTCCTTTACTATCAGAGTGGCCCTAGTGCCCCTACCCAATGTTGCAAGCTTGCAGGGTTCTTGTCTCACAGAAAGGAGGAAGGGATCTCGCGGACACAAAAGGGTGAAGTGAAGTGAAAGTTAAGTGAAGGTGAGAGCAGAAAGGAAAGAAGAAGCTCTCTAGAGTGAGAGGGGTCCCAAATGGGTTGCCACGGAGAGCTTTCAGTGGCGGTCTTTAATTGAGAACTGACTGGGAAGCTTGTGGCCTTGAGATTTTTGTGTCTTGGTTTGTTGCTTTATCTCTTGTTTCGCTCTGTCTCAGCATCTCCACCTACCCGGAATAGTTCCAGAGCTGAGTCAGGGGAGTCAGGGGCCTCCTATCTCTCCTGCCTAGAACTTAACCCCTTCCCTATTCATGGGACAGAACCCGTGGGCAGAAAGAGCTGTACTGAGATTGTGAGGAATGACTGATTGTTTACTTTTTAATTAGTGGGGGTGAGGGATAGCACCAGTCTCCAAGGAATCTGGAAGCAAGGCTTTCAGGACCTTGAGGGGCCGCTCCTGCCAAGATGAAGTTACCTTTAAACATTAAGGCACTGAGGTGGCCACACTTTCCTTGAGGAAGGTCACCGTCTTCATGTTTCAGGTTATCTGTCAGTGGGTGGCAAACTGTAAGGAGACTTTAATTTAAGCTACATTTCTTTTGCCTTTGTTTCCCACATCGCTAACAACAGTTACACAGCTACAACTCAGTTCCTACTTTTGGTGGTGACACAAAGGCAGGGAACCAGCCAGGGTAATGCATTTAGGATGCTTTATTAAAACCACTTCTAAATAGTGTATTCCAGAAAAGGCAAAGTAATTGACATCCTATAACTTTTGGGATCAGTGATTTAAAAAAACCTTAGAAAGTCCTAAGAGTGAGAAGAAAGCAAACAGACAATTCCCTGTGCCCTCCCTTCTTAAATGGAGTTCAGGATGACAGAGGACAAAAGGGGAGACTAGCACAAAACCTACCAGGAGGCAATTATCACAGTTAAGAGGGAAAGCTCGAAGGGTTCTGCCTGCCTGAATTCAAGTCCAGCCTGCCACTTAGTAGCTGTATGGCCTTGGACAAATTAGTTAACCTCCCTGGGCCTTACTTGTCTCATCTGAAAATAAGGATAATAATGATACTTATCTCATTAGGGGTGTGGTTTAGGATCAAAACAATGACTGTCTAATGCATATTAAGCACTCAATAAGCACGAAGTATTTCTATTATTTCCCCACTGAGTATTGGATGCTACTTTCAGATTGCAATCTCATCAGAGTATACACTTGCATAAAACAGAGGAAGCACGGGAAGCCCTCACTAAATATGGAGAATAAGCAGAAGACAAAGTGTTTCCCAACCTGCATCTCTCCACCTCTATGGGCCCAGAGGGGTGTGAGGGAGAGTACACGTTATTCCCCGTTAGCAAAGTGTAAGAAAGCCAAAGTTGGTACACACATTGACGGAGGAGACAGGAAGTCGGCTTGGCAGCCTCGACAAATGGAAGTATGTGTGTGATTTTCTTTTTCCTTTGTCTTTTTCAGGTACAGATGATGGTTCCATCGACGCCTGTAAAGGGGACTCTGGAGGCCCCTTAGTCTGTAAGGATGTCAACAATGTGACTTATGTTTGGGGTGTTGTGAGTTGGGGTGAAAACTGCGGAAGACCAGAGTACCCAGGTGTTTACACAAAAGTGGCCAATTATTTTGACTGGATTAGCCATTATGTGGGAAGGTCTCTTATTTCTCAGTACAATGTATAAAATTGTGATCTCTCTCTTCTGCTCTTTTTCTCTTGGGAGTTGGATTTTAGTTGAAATGATACTGCATAATTAGTACTTCTCTAGGAAAAAAATAATAAAGCACATTTTATTGGATATTTTTAAAGGTCTCTACAAAGCTTCTTCCATATTGGAACTTTGCTGTATAATTATCGAAGAAATATTTTAGTCGGGCATACATACTTTATTTATTAGAAAATGTGATTAAGTTATCTCTTTATACAGGAAGGATATATTGACTATACCAAAGGCTTTGCCAGTTGAATGACACTGGATTCACATAAGCCTGCATTCAAACCCCAATTCTACCATCTACTAATTACTTGGCCCTGGGCAATTTATTATCTTCTTTGTGTCTCATTTTCTACCTTTAAAATGGAAACTAGAATTTTGAAAAAATGAAACCACATACTAAATGAAATGCTTGCATAGTACCTGTCACAGGAAAATAACTGACCTCACACCTCTTGTCCCATTTCTCTGCTTCTTAAAGTATTAAAAGTTCTCTTGAAAGATTTGTCTTTAGTTCCCATTTCACAAGTCCTCCTTGACCCTCTCTTTAAACCTCTCCACAGATACTGCCACACAACCACTGACCTCCTTGGTGTCAAACCCACAGTCACTTAGCTACTCTCTTCTCCCCCTGCCCCAGCTGCAGTAGACCCAGTCGGCTCCTCAGGACATCACACTCTCCGCCTGGCCCCCCTGCCTCCCTGGCTGGTCTCCACCTCCTTCCCAGTCTCTTCCTTCTGGTCACTTCTTTCACTTTGTGCCTTTCCTAGTGATCTTACTAAATCCCACCCACAGTCCAATGACCCACAAACCCATATCTCCAGCCCTGATCTTCCTAAATCCCAGACTAGTATTTCGCTGAGCACTTAACATCTCCATCTGGACATCTAATAGCATTTCAAAAGAAACATAGCTGACAGGGGCGCCTGGGTGGCTCAGTTGTTAAGTGTCTGCCTTCAGCTCAGGTCATGATCCCAGGGTCCTGGGATCGAGCCCCGCATCGGGCTCCCTGCTCCGCGGGAAGCCTGCTTCTCCCTCTCCCACTCCCTCTGCTTGTGTTCCCTCTCTCGCTCTGTCTCTCTCTGTCAAATAAGTAAAATCTTTAAAAAAAAAAAAAAAAAAGAAAGAAAGAAAGAAAAGAAACATAGCCAACCCCAAATGGCCTCTTCTTTACCTAGTTCCTCCCTTTTTAGTAAATGGCATTTACTCAAGGCTCTCCTGTGGGCCCAGTGTACATTAGGCACCAATCTCTTTCTACCACGTGACCCTGGTTTGTCTACTTCTTACCCACAATGCTCACACATGCACTACTGCTCTCTGCTTTCTATACTGTAAGACACAAGAGAAGAGAGACTGTCTTCCTTCTGTCTGCATCCCTAGCACTTGGTTCAGAGGAGGTGCTCAGTGAATAAACATTAGCTGCTTTTATCATGATGATTTAAAATGCAGCTATCATCATCCTGAAGACTGAAGTATATTTTTCACATAAGTATTACCTTCAGTACCTGTGGTTCAGTCCTGGATAAAGCCCAATTGTTTTAATAAGACAAATGCCCATTTCTATGTATATTCCAAAGTTGCTTACTGCCCAGATTTATTTTTTTCCTTTTTAAAAATTTTGGTAACGTATACATACAATTTTTTTTTTTTTACTGCTTTAACCATTTTGAAGTGTACAGTTCAGGGGCATTAAGTACGTTCCGCTTGTGCAACCATACCATCTCCAGAAATTTTCATCTTCCCAAACTGAAAATCTGTGCCCATTACACACTAACTCCTCCTCCCCTCCCATGCTGCCCAGATTTTTAATGCTTTTTGTCACTGAATGCAGGAGAGTATTTGGTTATCTACGGCTGTATAAGAAAGAACCCCCACATATTTATTTAAATAGCAGTTGTTTATTATTTTGCTCTGGGGATTGACTGGGGCTCAGCTGGCCATTTCTTCCATCCTCTAGTGTAGTTACTATCAGACAGGGAGGGCTGGGGCAAGGATCATCTGGAAGGCTTCTTCACTCATGCGTCTGGTGCTTGGGCTGGGAGAACCCAAACAGTGGGGCTTCTCAGGCATCTCTCTCTATGTGGTCTTCTCCACTTGGGCTCTCAACATGAGGACTCAGGGGCACTAGACTTCTTACCTAACAGCTGACAAGTGTCCCAGGAGAGCCCGCAAACTAGAACAGCCTTGGAAGTCATTTAGCTTTGCTTCCATCACAAGACCTGATCAGGTTGAAGGGAGGAAATATAATCCATCTCTTGATGGGAGGGGTGTCAAAATATCTGTGGCATGTTTTAAAACCTCCACCATGTCCTGGCCCAGCAAACCTGGAGCATGTAGCATCTCTGAAGACGCCCGGATATGAGTACTAAGGGCTGCAAGCTGGGAGAAGTAGCGTCGTGGCTACTGGAAGGACCAAGCCAGTCTGCACGGTGACCTGGGACCTGGAGGCTTCACAGCGGAGTGGACCAGAATCAGGGCCTGAAGAGTGAAGAGCCAGCTTCTCCATAGTGACTCCATGTGACAGAGCCTGGGAATAGCAGGAGTGAGGTGACTGGCTGCTGACCACAGAAGCCAATCTAATTGGTTTAATGAAAAAAAAAAAAAAAGATGTGTTCAAAGATATTATGCAGTTCACAGAATCTCCGGGAAAGCCAGAGAGTTGGCTATGCATCTGGGGACAATGCTCAAAGAGCACTGTAGGACTGCTCATCAGAGGCTCCCACTGCCGCTAGCTCAGGTCCCACGCTCCACGCAGAGGCGGGGCACTGGGCACTACTGCTTGACCCTCTGCCACGAGCTCGCGAGATGTGGAGTGCTGCCATCACCTTACATTTAACCCTGGACTCAGCACTCACTATCATATGAGGGAGACAGAAAAAAATTATAAAGCTGCACTTTGCCAGGGACAACGGAGAGGAAAACTCAAGGGAGACGCATAAATCAGTCTGAAGTGTCAAAGAAGGTCTCCCCAGTGGTGAGCTTAATCTGAATTACAGAAGGGATTTCCAGGCAGATGTAAGTGCAAAGGTTCTGTGGCTTGAGGAGCCAACCACGAAAGGGGACAGAGAGCAGTGCAGCATGATGGTGGGGGTGTCCAGGGTGCAACTGAGGAGCTGGAGAGGGAGAAAAGGGCAGGTCAGAGAGGGCTTCATGCCAAAGAGTTGAGACCACTGAAAGACTTTGGAAAGTTCACCCTGGAGGCATTGAGGAAGATGTACTGGAGGGGGTGAGATGGGGTAGGAGAGACAGTTAAGAGACTATTGGAGCAATCCAAATGAGAAATGGTGAAGGTAGAAACTACAGCAGGGCATTTTAAAGGGGATGGCACTGATCCTGAATATATTAAGGAGTAAAATGGATGGCAGCCGGGGACAGAAAGAGAGGACAGGGCACTAGAGAGAGGGATGGGAGTCTAGAATAACTCCCAAGTTTTCTCTTGGACAATGAGATGATTGCTGTTGCCATTGATTGAAGAAATAAAGGAAACAGAGAAAGAGAAGCAGGTTTTGTTAGTTAAGGATATTGTGAAGCTGTGAGGTCTATGGGAGCCCAGGAAAGATGTACATAGCATGCAGTAGGAAATATGAAACTGAAAATGAGGCAGAGGTTTGGAAGTAGCCAGAAACCCAACCTAGAGAGACCACACACCTGAATTTATCCTGATGGTCTAAAACCCTGCAGTCCCACCCAAGTGCGTTCCTTCCATCCTATCCAGCACATTCTCTCTGGATGCTGAGTGATCTTACATTCTACCCACAAAGATCACTTGAAAATCTCTTCCCTGATTGTTGTGCTTTGACTGTGTTTCCCCAAAACTCATGTTGAAATCCTAATGCCCAATATGATGGTATTAGGAAGTAGGGTCTTCAGGAGGTGCTTAGGTACCTAGGAGGGTGGAGGCCTTAAGGTGGGGATTAGTATTTTATAAAAGAAACCCCAGAAATTCCACCCCCCTTCCATCATGTGAGGACACAGAGAGATGTCAGTCATCTGCAAACTTGAAGAGAGCCCTACCCAGAACCTGACCACTCCGGCACCCTGATCTTGGACCTCCAGACTTTAGAAGTGTGAGAAATAAACTTCTGCTGGGGCGTCTGGGTGGCTCAGTCGTTAAGTGTCTGCCTTCGGCTCAGGTCATGATCCCAGAGTCCTGGGATTGAGCCCGCATCGGGCTCCCTGCTCTGCGGGAGGCCTGCTTCTCCCTCTCCCACTCCCCCTGCTTGTGTTCCCTCTCTCGCTGTGTGTCTCTCTGTCAAATAAATAAATAAATAAAATCTTTAAAAAAAAAAGAAAGAAAGAAAGAAACTTCTGCTGTTTATAAGTCACCTAGTCTGTGGTATTTTGTTAGAGTAGCCCAAGCAGACTAAAACACTGATCAAATTTGCCTGATGATAGAATACCTGAAATGGAAAGCTGTTATCTTGAATATATCATGGAACCAGCCCATGCTTATGGATCTGGTGCAGCCATCTCTTGTCCTTCACATTGTCCCTAGTTTGAAAGCTATTCATGCTATTAATTTTTTATTTTTTTTTAAAGGCAGAGCCTGGAAACTAGCACTTATTTCCCCTTCATTTGAGCCCTTTTTAGAAACCAATGTTCTCGCCTTAACACTGGGCAAAGATTGATCATTATGGCTGGAATGGTTTCACCACTTGGCAATTATTTTCATCACAATAACACTGCTCGGGCCATTTGATGAGACATTGGAAAAGACTAAAAAAACAGGAACTGCCCTTGATCATTTGTATTTTGTTGATTGTGTATTGTTTCAAATAACACAGAGGATTCTACTCTCCAAGCATTCTGTGTTAATATGTTACATTTAACCCCAATACACTTGGCATTCTTACTCATTAATATCATCATGTTTCTTGATGTCCATGACAGTGAAGAGACCATTCGGGGTGTCCAAAAGGTGTATCTGACTGATTATGCTTATAACTGGACTGGAAAGCTCTGTATAGAAAACACAGACTAGTCTCAGCCACCCAGAAGATCCCATTCCAAGGCACATGTATCATGCAGACAAGAATCAGCACAAATACAGCATATTTTATATTTTCATAATTTTGTTTTGATAATATTGACCAAAATTGCTTTTCCCAATTCCTCTTCCTTTTTTTTCTCCTCTCACTACAAATATGTCTTGTCCTCAGTATTCCACTGAAAATTTTCTTACGAAGTTTACCGTGACCTCCCTGTTATTAAATTCAGTAATCAATATCAAGTCCTCATCTTCCTCCACACCAGCCAAATTGATGGTTCTGTTGTTCTTAGACACACTGCAATAAAGCACTCTCTTGCTGCACTTGGATGACCCTTCTGAGCCTCTTTTGCCACTTCCTAGTTCCCCGACCTCCTACAACTTAGACTTTGTTCTGCTTCTCTACATACTCACTTTTTAGAGGATCTCTTCTAGTCCTATGGCTTTAAAAGTCATTTCTATGCTGATGACTTCTAAATAAATTTCTATTCCTTGTCCCACCTCTGAACTACAAATTCAGAATAAGTTTCTCAAACATGGTATGTCTGAAATTAATTTCCTAAATTTTCCCTGAAATCAACTCCTTCTAGAATCCTCCCCATTTCATTTAGTGAGAATTCACTACCCTAAGTGCTGAAACCAAAACCTTAATGTCATTGATTTCTCTTTCCTTCATTTACCATACTCAATCCAACAGCAATTCCTGTTGGCTCTACCATCAAGTTCTATCTAGAATGTGACCACTTTCACACCTCCACTACTCCTTCCCCGGGCCGAGTCACAATAATGTCTTACCTGGTTCATTACATCCTAACTGCCTTCCTAGCTTCAGCTCCTGCCCATCCACAGTCAAAGTATATCTAGACAACCTAGCCATTTGCTAGCAGGAAAGACCTGGCAAGTTGTAGGTTTGCAACCAACAGAATCTGTCACAATAATAACAAGATTTGCTGATTAGATGAAAGTGCCCTGTAAAGAGGCTCTTTTCAAACCTTTTATGCTAACTATTAGGAAGAAAGGATGGAAAGGGGTCATCTGGAAGTTAACATGATATGGCCAGTCAGGACTGGCTTCTTGTCCATGAATCCTGTGCCCATGTACAAGGCACTGAACTCAGAAGTGTTTCACATTTGCTCTAATGCTCTCCTGTCATCATCTTGAAATTCTTCATGATTTTTGAACAAGGAGCCCTGCATTTTTATTTTGTACTGAGCCCTGCAAGTTACGTAGCTGGTCCTATAGTCAATGCCAAACTCTAGTATCTGGCAGCAGGAATTAAGGGGGAAAAGTAAATCTTGGAATTACTGCAGCAGAACAACAGATATCTAATGATTGAATATGAAGTGACTTGTAAAAATAAAACTTAGAATCTTGTTTTCTGGGAAGATGGTGATGATTCCACACAGTGGAAAAGGAAATTTGTTTCAGAGAAAAAGAGAACAACTCTATCAGTCCAAGGAACTGGAGTTTGAGAATTTAATCTCTAAAGAGAGTTGAGACAGAGAAGACTAAATCTGAATCCTCAGAGCAGAGGCTGTAGTTAAGGTGTAAGAAATTAGATGAGATCACCAAGGAGTGAATGTATAGAGAAAAGGCAAAAAAAAAAAAAAAAAAGGAGAGGTTTTGGGGCTTCAGTAACTGAGGGTTGGAATCAGGTTACTACATTCTCTCTTTTCTTGTGGAATATTTATTCACATATGGGAGAGTTTCTCTGAAGACCTGAAAGAACCAAACCTGGTTTAAGGGTTTGAGTGGTGGAATTAGGTGGGACCGCAGAGGTAATCTAATTGAACACCCACACTTTAGAGATGGGAAAGCCAATGCTCCAGAAAACATAAAAAATGTTCTATGTTCCCTTTTCTGAATGTTTTGAAATGTGCATTTCAAAATTATCAAACAGGAAGAAAAAAATCTTTGGCATCTCGTGAAGGTAGAATTAGCCCCTGCTTTGACTGGATACTGTCATATGACTCCTCTGTACTTTGACTCCCTCGCCGTAGAAGGCTGACAATACCTCCCGGGCACAGGTCTCCCCTTCCTCCATTGTGGTAGGCAGATCACAGCCCAAGGGCTCCTGGCTGAGGCCCGCAGCCTGGGGTTGGGCTACATCTGTGTGTGGGCCAGGAGAGACTTCTTATTGTTTCTTCACCTTAAGTCTGCATCCCAGTAAAGCGGTGTTCTGAATGTGAGATGATGTGAAGTACATGGCACAGAGTAAGTTCTCAATAAAGAGGGACAGAATTCTTAGGAACTCTTTGGTGCACATTTATCATACTTATGAAGCTTGTAACAAACATAAAATGCCAAACTAGAATTTATTGGTAATTTTAGTAAGAAAGGATGCACCTATTCCCAACACTTGCAATACTGCCCTGGATCTTACTGTAAAATTCTTGGAAATTTCCGGGATACTAACATAACCAGATATTTACAGCTCTGGTAAAAAAAAAAAAAAAAACCTACTGCAATATTATTTAAGGATTCTGCACAGCGCGGGGAAAAAATACTGAGAAACTTCACCGTAGTTATCAAACTTCAAAATATGGTGAGCAGAAAAGCAGTGATTTCCAAATAAGATTTTTTTTTAAAAACTGTATTCAAGTGTAGAGTAGAATACCGTTTCTTCCTTATCAAGAAAGAAAACTTAGAGTTTTTATTGTCAAACCAGTTCCTTCTTCCGGAATTTCTAAATGGGGATCTCGCTCATGCTTGCCAGTCAGGCACCACCACCTCGCCCTTGGGTTGAGCGGCCCGGCTCCCGCTCCCCCAGCCGCGGCCACCGCGGGCCGAGGACCTGGCGAGCACGCGAGGAGGTGACATCCGGATTCCGGTCCACGTGTCACGCAGAACCGAGTTTTCAAACCGAAACTTAGCCGGACCCCTCGCAGCGCTCTCTGTAAGGGGCTAAGGGAACTCATTTCTTCCACGGCGTCCCCGCCCAGAAAAGCTGTCCCTACGGACGGGGGCGGGGGCGACTGCTGGGCTGAACCCTGACAGGTCGGTGGGGCTCGTCCCTTGGCTGCCCCCTCAGGCAGCGGCGCGCCCTCAGGCAGGGCGGAGGCGCGCCGCGGGCACTGTTTGCACTGCAGCTCACCACTCCTGCGCCTCGCTCCCACTTCGCCGGCCTCTGACGCACCACGCCTGCGCGCAGGCGCACAGTAGGGGCCGCGGGCGCAGGCCAGCGCGTGCGCCATGCCGCGCGTCTTCGCGACGGCGCCGCCCCCCGGCCAGAGCTGAGTAAAGGCGGTGAGGGCCCGCCTCCCACCTCGGAAGGAGGCGTGGGCATGGAGCCGGCTGGGGACGCCGAGCCCGGAGCTGGGGACGCCGAGCCCGGGGCTGGCGCCGCTGCCTAGGGCACCCCGTGGGCTCCGTGGGGGCACGGCCCGGTGCTGCGCGGATGGCCCTGCTCCCGCGGCCCGCGTTCGCCCTCGTCGTCCTCCTCGTCCTGCCCGCCGCTCTCAGGTGCCAGGAGCAGGCCCAGACCACGGACTGGCGGGCCACCCTGAAGACCATCCGGAACGGCGTTCACAAGATAGACACGTACCTGAACGCCGCCTTGGACCTCCTGGGAGGCGAGGATGGGCTCTGCCAGTATAAGTGCAATGACGGTGAGAGGGAGCCCAGGTCCTGCGAGGCCCTCGCTTTCCGGGTGTTGTGGAGGTGTGGGATGCAAGGCAGACCTTGACGTTGTCCTCTAGCCGTGGAAAGACTTAAGCACTGCTAGGGTCCTACCGTTCTTGTGGTTGAGCAATCAGGTTAGAAGTTCGCACCGCTATTGTTAGCCTGTGAGAGGTCACCTGAGGTGCACTCCCCGTTCTGTTTTCATTGCTTTTGAATCACTACGTTTTCTTTTTCTCTTTCTTTTCCTTTTGCTCTTGCACCAAGTTGCCTCAGAACTTTGTGACGTACGCATCATGGGAATGGAGTGGAACAGACCGACTTTAGCGCTATATTTTAGCACCGTTAGTCAGCCGAACATGCAGAATCTACCGAGAATTGTCATCACGACGTTTTACCTTTCTCAAGAATTGCTTTTAATTTTTTTTTTTCCCTGCAGGGCCACAGAAAATGAATTGCGACCTTTGTACAGACTTCTGGTGTACCCTGTTGTTGAGAAAGAGTTCTGATAATTCTTCTAGAAATTGTCTATCACTTGATAGAAATTTTCTTTCCTTGGTTAATACTACTATAATTGTTTTAATTTACTTTTCATATTTTTTAACTTTTAATTCTTTTTGAATCTGAGAACTTGTTTGGTGCCATCGTTGGTAATAATAAACCCAAGGTCTTAGCAGAGATCTTTCTTTTCAAGCACTTGCTTTTTTTGAATGTTTAAATATTTGTAGCAGCTCAGGTAAAGTACTCAGGCTTCTCTTTGGAAATTAAAAATTTTAAGATTTTGATTGGGAGGTCATGTTTCCAGTAAGAGTAGACGAAGTTGGGGCCTAGTTCATTTAGTGCTTGGCACTAAATAGTAATAGGGAACTCAGTGACTATTGGTAAAACCAGATTGCATGGAGGTGAATTTAAAAGAAATCTATGTCATGTAAAACTGGGTTGCCACTTGCTGCCTGTAATTCTCAAAATAATTTCTAGTTTTATGTTAATGGAGGTAAAGAATGAGCCATATCTCGTATGCTGTGAAGTGCAAAATGTTTCCTTCCTAAATTTATGTCTAAATGTTACCACCAGTATGCAATCGGGAAGGATGTTGTTATGAGGAATAAGTGAATTATTTGAAAATTAAATGGTTGCCTTTCCTGAGGCAGATGTCATAATTTTACTTGGTCATCCCCATTCATTTTGGAGATTCAGCAGTAAACAAAACAGACAAAATTCCTGTCCATGGAGCTTACATTTTGGTGGGGAGAGACAGTAAACTAAAAAACAAGTAACATAAGCCAGATATGCAGTATATGTAGGTCTGAAGTTTGCCAGTGTTTTGAGAACAATAGTAAAAACAGCAGTGGCAGTGTTGGGAGGCAGTTTACTCATTTTAAATAGGTTTTCAGGGAAGGTCTCACTGATAAGACAGCATTTGAGAAGAAATCTGAAAATGCTGAAGGTGACACTGTGATGATCTGGGGATAAAACCCTCCAGGCAGAGGGAATGGCCAGTATGAAGGACCTGAGGAGAAAGGCCAGTCAAGGATGACTCCGAAGATTTTGGCCTGAGCCAAAGGAAGGATGTGGTTGCCATTTACTGAGATAGGAAAGGCTTAGAAGGAGCAGTCTTCATTAACTTGTGATGAGTCAGGGGTTCTAGAGTTTATTTACATTTAAAATAGCTCTGAAGTTGAATGGATACTGTTCCTATTATAAAGATGACTTTAATCTTTTGTTTTACTTAACCCTTTTTGTCTTCAGCAAGCCTCACTAAATTTACCTTGTGGAGTCTGAAGCAAGATCTCCAGCATAAAAAAACATAAATGAACTTGAGAATTTAGGAAATGGTATGCTTCAGTGAACATCCTTTTGTGTCTTAGTAAATACTGTCTTCTCATAGGACTGTGGTTCCAAGTCACCATGTTGATAATTCCAACATAATGAAAATTGTTCTTTAATTGCTATTACTTGAGAAGTCTCCCTGGAACACTGTTTCAACCTTTCCCAGATTTTGGAATGCAAGTGATCAAATCAGAACCAAACAGAAACAGACAAATCCCAAAGCTAGAGGAGCATGGCAATTAAGGAGTGTTTAATAGTTGCAATAAAGAGGTAAAGGGAGCTTAAAAAAAGACTTGGTAGTAGGGAGAGAGTGATCAGATTAAAGGGCACTCACTTGTTGCATTCAGTTATCTTTGTTTTATCAAAAGGATTGGCTTTATGGAGACTTGCTCCCTTCTGGCTATCCTCCCTCTGGTGAGAACAACACTTTATTGAGATTGAAGTAAAGTTACTTAGGGGAACAAATTAGATGGTTGCTATTTTTTTCTATTTTTTTTTTTTTTCCCTGACAGCAAAGAAAATTTGAGAAAGAAAACTTTCTGATTTCTTTTGAAAAATAGAAAACAAAATTGACTTGTAAAATGCTTTAGAATTATGAATAAGTAGCTCATTCAGTGATTTATGTTTTAACAGGATCCCTTTGGCTGTTGTGCAAAGGATAAAAAGAGTCCAGGGAGGTGGGAGAGCAAGAATGGAGGCAGAGTGATAGGTGCAGGAATTCAAAGATGGTGGTGGTTTTGTCCAGGTTCATAGCAAGAAAGGTCATGAGAAGTGGTTGGATTTGGGGATATATTTTGAGGCAAGAGCCTGAAGGATTTGCTGATAGCTTGGAAGGAAGGTGTGGGTAGGGTAAAAAAATGATTCCAAAGTTTTTGGCCTGAATGAATGGAAGGATGGGGTTGCCATTAACTGCTATAGGGCAGACCATGGAAAAAAGTCACTAGGAAAAATAATAACATATTTGTATGCTTTTGAGAACGAGTCAGTAGAGAATGAAAACACTGTTGAGGGAGAAATGAAGGAGAATTATTGGAGTCAGGTCCTTAGGTAAGTGAGAGGAGTGGGTTCCAGTGCATAAATAGATTGGCCAAGAGCACGGATGACCTATCCCTATTAATAGGAACAGAGGTAGAGGATGTGGGCACAGAAGCTGATTAGGTGGTTAGATGTCCGAGTTCTCTTCCCATCACTTCAGTTTTCTCAGTGAAGTAGGAATCAAGGTCATCAGCTGAATGCGAAGATGGGAATGGAAGTGTTGGAGATTTGAGGAAATTAGGAGAGTGAATGGACTAGAAAAGTAAAGTAGCACAAGGGCCCTCCACATATTAAATCATGAATTAAAATCTCAAGTGTTTAGGAAAGCAGTTTTGAATTCTACACTGCATTTCCTATAAAGCACAGTGCTAAGATCTTTAACCCAACAGCCTTCCCTTTCTGTTTCCCATCTGCTTCAGTGTCATTCATGTGAAAGAAATTGGTCTGTTGGGAAGTATTTACATCAAATTAAAAAAAAATATATGTAGAAAAGATCTATCATTATCTCAGTCCAGGCAAATCTTTAGATTTTATCTGTCCATACAGATGATAAAGCATCAAGAGAGGAGCATTTGCCTAAGTCAAAAAGTAGAATCAATGAATAGTATTTCCATGTAGTTGTACCCAGTGGATTTGGTTTGTTTTTTAAATTCTTCTCATTTTTTTTCTTAGCTTTCTGTATTTGCTTACAAATTTTAGGGGGTAGTGACTCTGATACATCATGGATTTTGGTTTGACTTTGATATTGCTTCTTCTGTTACTCAGTTTTTGCTTGTTTTGTGTATTTGTCTGTTCAGACTCCTGTAACAAAATACCATAGACTGGGTGATTTAAACAACAGGAATTTATTTCTTAGAGTTTTGGAGGCTGGAAAGTCCAAGATCAAAGTTTGGCCAACACTGTTCTATAGTGAAGGTTCTTTTCCTGGCTTGCAGACAACTAACTGCCTTCTTACTGTTTTCTTACATGGTTGGGGGTGGGAGAAGCAAGTTCTCTGGTGTCTCTTCCTTGCCCTACTCTCATGACCTTATCTAAACCTAATTATCTCCCAAAGGCCCAATCAGCAAATGCATTGGGAGTTAGGGCTTCAACATAGGAATTTGGGGGGGGACACAGTTCAGTTTATAGCACTTTGCAAAAATTGGCACTCAGTAGAAATGCTAAATTTTTTAATGTTTAGCAGCTTACAACACCACTTATAACAACATTTAAAATGATATTAACGTATTTATAATTTTTGAAGTGTATAGCAACTTACTCTTTAATAAACAACTTTCTGTGTAACTTGTCTTGCTCAGAAATAGTAATTTCAATTTAAAGCTGAATTTAGAACTTCAAAACACTTTAAAATGTTTTGGGAAATCTGTTATTTCCCAGTTTTTTGGGGTTTTGGGGGCTTGGGGGGTTGGTTTTTTGGTTTTTGGTTTTTGGTTTGTTTGCTGTAGATAAAGAATATTTTAATTTCAGGAAGGAATTTCCCCTTTTTTTTCTCCAGTAATTTCACAGGTGCCTACTATGTGCCAGGCATCTTCCAGGTGAGCAAGACAAAGTTCCTGTCCTCATAGAAACTGACTAATTATGGGGGGGTGGGAGGATGGGCATTAAGGAGGCCATGTTTGGTAGTGAGCACTGGGTGTTATACGCAACTAATGAATCACTGAACACTACATCAAGAACTGATGATTTACTATATGCTGGCTAATTGAACATAATAATAAGAAAAAAACAAACAGAAAAGAAGAAATTGGCTATTATGTTAATTTGGTCAATGAATGTTAGAAAGAAGAATAAAACCAACCAAGGGTATATGGAATGGTTATGGAAGGGAAGGGGCACTGTCTTAGAGGGAGTGAGCGGGGAAGGCCTCTCTGATGAAGTGACATTAGTACATTCCTTCAAAAGCCAAACAAAAACCAGTCACGTGCCCCCTTTGCCACTTATGCTGGGGAGTCAGTTTTATCAGCATTTATTTTATGGTATTATTATTCAGTAGTTCATGTGCAGTAGGTCTTGGTTCTCAGTGCATTTTATCAGCTTCCCTCCTGAGAGCAGTTTTAGACACTGGCTCTGTTTGAAACAACTGCCTCCCCCATCCTCCCGCCTCCATTTTCAGTTTTGCTGACAC